TTGGCCTCATCAACCATAGCATTACATTATTTTTTCTGTATTAAATTCCAACCCGTGCATGACTCTCACAACATTTTTAATTGTAATACAATACTTAGTCCATTGTTTTCCTTGTTTAATTACAATATCTGAAAAGAACCATGCTTCTAATTCTTGATAATATTCTTTTCACATGTAACGCAAGCTGTTTATCAATCTTTTCTTGTCATATAACTTCATTTGGAGACCTTTTTTCTCCAACACATCATCTGCTTATTTTATATTTTAAGGATTATTCATCGTTATTTGATTTTTTTTTTTCTCATTCGCAATTATTATTGTCATAGGGCCTTATGGCTGATCGTTTGCTTTTCCTATATCATGATATGCCCCTGCATGTATCGATTGCCTTTTAATGTTCGTAATGCCGACAGAGTTTCATTTTATGTTTTTGTTCTTATAATTTTTTATATGAACTTCATGGCCCGAATTCACAAAGCAAGGTTTGAGCTCAGACCAAGGTTTGACCTCAAACCTCCTTTTGTTTCGCCAAACCTCCTTTTGTTATTTACAAACCTGGTTTGTAAATAACAAAGGGAGGTTTGGCGAAACAAAAGGAGGTTTGAGCTCAAACCTTGGTCTGAGCTCAAACCTTGCTTTGTGAATTCGGGCCCATGTGTCTGTTCTCCTCTCCTTGTTTCAAGTGGTTATTCCATCCTTTCAAATCGTGTTTATTCTTTCAGCGACAGCAATCTTCTTTGTTCTGTACAGTTTATGCATATGTCTTGTTCATTTCTTCTTTCTTCTTGCTGCCTTTGGATGCTCTATTTTTCTCTTCGTTTCCCCATCTCTCCTTGACAGCGCCAAAATTTATCATGTATTTTATTTCCCCATATCGTCAATTATTCATGTTCGGATACTGATTCTGAATTCATGATGGCAGGTTCACCTGATAAGCAGCAATTCCCTTTCCATACGGTGAATGATGATGATTTCTTTTATTTACACAGACATATTCGACTTGAGGATGAACCTAACACCCCTGCTAATTCATTTGATAATTCTGTTATGGACAATATCAACTCTTCACTTGAAGAACTAGAATTCGACTTTGATTTTGATGATCCTGCTCAACGTAACGTTTCTAAATATGTAACTGTTAATTAGTTTCGTAATGTAGTGAAAGAATTTCGTAATGATACATTCTCCTTGCTTCATTTGAATATTAGAAGTTTAAATAGGCACTTCGATGATCTACTTTCGCTTCTTGATAAGCCATTATCTTTAATTACCCATTATCCATTATCCATTATCCATTATCCATTAATTACCCATTATCCTTAATTGGTCTTACTGAAACATGCATGTTAACTTGTGATTCCAATCACCCATACTCTATTGATAACTACGATTTTATTCATAAAAATAGGCAAGAAAGACTGGGTGGCGGCGTTGCTTTATATATCCTTAAAAAACTGAATTATACCGTTTTAGATAATCTCTCAACATGCAATAATATTATAGAATCCCTTTTTATTGAAATCGTGATTCCCGGTAATAAGAACATAATAGTCGGCGTGATATATCGACCCCCGAGTTCGAATGCACACGAATTTTTATTGTATTTATCTGACACATTACAAAACGCCAGTTTCAACAATAAAGATTGTTTTTTGATGGGCGACTTTAATATAGACTTGTTAAAGCACTTACATAGCAATGTTTCTCAAGAGTTTCTCGAAACAATTTTGTCTGCTTCTTTCTTACCACTTATTTCCAAGCCAACTCGTGTTGCAAATACATCCGCTACTTTAATTGATAATATTTTTTCTAATGTTACTCCACATTTTGATTCTTACATTACTCTTTCGGACATATCTGACCATTACCCCATTGTGACTCACTACACGGTTTCAAAGCCATTTAACAACAATGGTCCTTACCCAAGTAGACGTAAAATAACTGTAGAGAATTTAGCTCGCCTTGGCGCTAATCTCGAAAATACTGATTGGTATAGTGTTTATTCCGAAAATGAAATTAATTGTTCTTATGAAATGTTCTCTAGTATATTAAACAACAAATTAGATACTAACATGCCGAAGCAAAAAGTCAAACATGGTTATAAGAAAACGCCCAAACTCCCTTGGATTTTTAAGTCTATATTGCGATCAATAAATCGGAAGAATAACCTTTATTATAAATATAAAATAAAAGGCACTGAGCAATCAAGGAGAAAATATACATCATATAAAAACATTTTGACTCGGATTATTCGATTAGAAAAGAGAAATTACTTTGTAAATCGTTTGAAACTTTTTAAAAATGATATGCAAAACACTTGGAAGGTAATCAAACAAGCAATGAACCAAGTTAATAATAAATCTGAGGTAAATAAGATCAAATTTGATAATGAGATAGTTGAAGACCCAAAAGATATAGTTAATATTTTTAATACTTATTTTTCTTTAATAGGTGATAATCTCGCTAAAAACATTCCGCCTTCAAACACAAATTTTGTGGAGTTTTTAGGCCCTCACAATCCAAATTCTATTTTCTTTGTTCCAACTAATAGGCAAGAAATTATGAAAATTGTTTCTAGTCTGAAAGATAAGAAAAGTTCAGGGTATGATGGAACCAATAATGTCATACTAAAATCTATTATTCCTTTTATTGCAGATCCATTGGTTCACATCTTTAATATATCACTTTTACATGGTAAATTTCCTAATTCTATGAAAATAGCCAAAATAATTCCGTTATTTAAAAAGGGTGATAAATTGGATGTGGGTAACTACCGCCCGATTTCTTTATTATCTTCATTTTCTTAAGTTTTGGAAAGAATAATCTATATCCGGATGATGTCCTTTTTGAAAAAATATGATGTATTTTCAAACTTCCAATTTGGTTTCAGAGAAAAGCACAGCACCGTTCATGCTTTAATGTCTTTTGTTGAGAAGGTTGCCCACGCAATTGATACATCGTCACACACTGTAAGTATATTCCTGGACTTCTCCAAGGCCTTCGACACGATCAATCACGAAATTTTACTTTACAAACTATCTCACTATGGTGTACGTGGAAAGGCCTCGGAGTGGTTTAGGAGTTACCTCTCTAACAGAAAGCAATATGTACACTTAAACGATCATGCATCTAAATTATGCAATATTAGTTGTGGTGTCCCACAAGGTGGTCTGCTAGGCCCGCTACTCTTTATTATTTATATAAATGACTTTTGTAAATCGTCTAACTCCCTGTCGTTTATTTTATTTGCAGATGATACTAATTTATTTTTTTCACACAAAAATCCAAACGTCCTGGTTGATAAAATCAATGCCGAGTTATTAAATATAATTTTATTGCAATGGATACAAGCAAATAAATTGTCACTTAATCTCCAGAAAACAAACTACATGCTATTTAGTAACTCTTTGGATTCATTACCCTCTGACATTATTTTTGACAATACCCCTTTGAAACATGTCCCTCTTACCAAATTCTTGGGTATAACAGTCGATGATAAACTTTCTTGGAAACCACACATTGATAATATTTGTAAAATCATTTCGCGCAATATTGGTGTTATTAATAGACTAAAATTGTACTTATCACAATCATCATTATTTATGTTGTATTCTTCATTGATCTTGCCATATTTGAATTACGGTCTTCTAGTTTGGGGCAATACACATCATACATTGTTGGAAAGAGTTCTATTGCTGCAAACTTGAGAGAGTTATTCGTATTATCTGTAATGCCCCCATATACGCTCCCATACGAATCCTCTGTTTTTTGAAAATAACATCTTAAAAATTAAGGATTTGTACTTATTTCAGCTCGGTCAATTTATGTTTAATTACAATAGAGGTATACTACCCTCTGTGTTTAATGATATGTTTCTTAAAAACCATGCTGTTCATAGATATCCCACTCGACAATCCGATGAGTTTCACTTACCTCTTTTTGAGAACATGTTCTGCACAGAACACGTTCATTTTTGAAGGCCCTAAATTTTGGAATACTTTGCATAACGATTTGAAAACTTCCCCTTCACTAATTGCTTTTAAAAAAAAGTTAAAATTTTCCTTATTACAATCTTATAATATTTAGAAAATTATTGTGATAGAACATCTCCTTCCCAATTTTGTTTTCTTTCTCTCTTTTCTTCAGCCCATCTCAAAACAAAAAACTACTTGCCATCATGTTCTTGCTCTTTTTGTTTCAGCTGTCTCAAGGATTTTGTGCGCTCCCTATTTCGTGCTCGATCTCTACAACTTTCCTTTGCTCTCACTCTCTTTCCCTCCAAACGCAGCCCGCATTCACCCCCCCCCCATTTTTCTTCTTCCTTTTCCTGTTCTTTCTTCGTCATGTAATTTGTTACGTCTTCTTGTTTACAGTCATTACGTGTTTTAAAAAATGTTCTCTGTTGGACACTATTCTTCTTTCATTGATTATGTATTCAATATTTTGTTCACACTTATTATTATCTGAGGGGTCCACAATTTACAAGCTTTGCTTTTTAGTGGACCTCTCCATTTTCTCAAAATATAAATGCAATTAAATTTTAAAATTCATTTTTTTGTCTTCCTAAAATGTATAAATTATTATTAAGATTTGTTTATTACCAATGTAACTATGTTTTGTATACATTTTACATTGTATTCGTTATTTGTATTTTGTTGGAAATGAAAAAATAAAAAAATTAAACGATTTGAAATCAGCTGCTTCTAAAGACTACGCCGATCTCGTGATAGTCTACAAAAATAGTCCGGTTTGACAATTTTGAAAGTTTAAATACTAATAAAATATTCAAAATCAAAATGTGTTTTACACTTATCCAGCAAAATTATTATTTCTTTTACAAAAATTGTTTCCACTGATCTAATTTTTTTTCCTGAGCTGAGTGTATAAGTATCACAATGAAGTATTATTAATAATGTCCTCTTTAAATAAGACTAGGCAGTAAGTCACCTGACTTGGGTTGGCTTTACACAACAAAATATACTCATGATCACCTGCCACCGGACCGTACGCGGAACCATTGCTGAGTGATACACTGTCACTGATAGTGGTAGTTCAGTAAGAACCCAGAATAAATTTGCAGCAGTTGCATGTGCAGTATTGGCAATCTTAAATATTGGTGAGTAGTGCTGAGTAGTTTATTTATGTTTGAAATAGTAAATAGGTGTGTGTGTAGGCCTAGGCCTAGCTGATTTTATTTAGATCTGAAGTAAAAATAGGTGGTTAGTCATAGTGAAAGAGAATAGCTGATAGTCTATGAATGATTATGATGGCGGAGTTAAACCACCGTTTTATTTACGGGGCGGTGAACGTGAACTCGGTGAAATGAAGAAGGAAACACGAGACACTGACTAAACACTAACTAACCTTATATTATCTCTACTTGTACTTTAGACCGAATTTTCCGTCTCTTTCGTTCGTTAGCCTCTTATTGGGGTAGGGTCGGCTCTCTCTTTAGAGACAGAAACCGTCTATACACATTCCCTTGATAACGCCACGGCCATTTCAGGTCGTAGCGTTTTGCCCCCAAAATCCCCCAAAATGTCATTTTACCTCATGCATTGATTATTTAAAATTAGGAGAAGGTTATACTACATCGGTTCCACTTACCAACTTGACTGAAATAATCCGTTTAATGGTCCCTTTTAAGGAAATTATGGGTCAAAATCGACATCCATGTTGAAATCTTGCAAGCCGTGTTAAACTCTCGCTGCGCATGGAGTCATCTAAATCAATCTCATCCCTTCTAGTCTACGCCGAAGGCAAAACGATTATGAAGTAAAAACTGTGCGCCATCTACACGTTCGTAATGGCGTTATCACAGTTTTTCCTTCATAATCGTTTTGCCTTCGGCGTAGACTAGAAGGGATGAGATTGATTTAGATGACTCCGTGCGCAGCGAGAGTTTAACACGGCTTGCAAGATTTCAACATGGATGTCGATTTTGACCCATAATTTCCTTAAAAGGGACCATTAAACGGATTATTTCAGTCAAGTTGGTAAGTGGAACCGATGTAGTATAACCTTCTCCTAATTTTAAATAATCAATGCATGAGGTAAAATGACATTTTGGGGGATTTTGGGGGCAAAACGCTACGACCTGAAATGGCTGTGGCGTTATCAAGGGATTGTGTATAGACCGTTTCCGTCTCTAAAGAGAGAGCTGGCCGACCCTACCCCAATAAGAGGCTAACGAACGAAAGAGACAGAAAATTCGGTCTACTTGTACTTCAGCTAAGCTCAGCATAGCTGCTCAGCGAACTCGTCAAACTCCCAGGTCTTGAGGTGAACCGGGAGTTGCATGATTCGGGAAGCTAGTTGATTCTGGAGTGTGTGTGTTGTATCAGCAGCAAAGTCCAGAATGAGGAGACTGCCCACGGCAGGGACGCTTATAGGCACGTCCTCAAGAAGTTTGCGACGGACGGACGCGTAAGCGCATCCAAGATGCGTACATATTGTAAATTCTGGCGTGCTGGTAAAATATCCGCTGCCTGGTTTCACGTATGAACTGTTACGCGTCCACGAAACAGAATTTGGCTTATTAAATGCCATTTTACAACAGATCTATTCTATCTCTACTCTAGATCCTTCGTCGTAATCGTATTTTACTCTGTTTATCATTTCTTCTTCTTTAATTTTGTCCTTCCTCCGTTGGCTTTGCCTTTGCCTTTGCCTTTGCCTATCGGTGGTATATAACGCTGTATTGTAAAAGTAAGGCTAATCTAATAATAGTCCGGGAACCAGCCAGGGGGGAGGGGGGGGGGGGGGTCAACCTAGTCTCTAGTTAATGTTCTAGTCCGAGGAACAGAGTGTTTTCCCCTGGACTCCAGCATGCATCGAGAACAGAGGGGAGGGGCGCGTTTAAACACAACATCAATCATTTTTTGCAATTGTGTCTGCTCAGCGGTGGATTTGAACCCATATGCCTCACGAAAGTCATGGGAGCCAGACAAGGATCTGGGACCTTTTTCACAAATCAGTGACAAATCTACTGATAACCAATCAGAAGCAAGGATTTCAGTAGCTTATAACAAAAACTGTCATTTGTCACTAATGACAAGTTTTGTGAAACGGGGCCCTGATCAATCAAACATAAATTGGCAAATCTGCGACATATCTTGCATAAGTTGAACAATATTTTGCAGTCCCAACTAACTTGACTTGTACTGCAGTTTGATCGATCTACCCGCCCTCTGCCTGCACATGAGTTATCAAACTATGGCAGGGTCAGATGAAGCCTCAGCATAGCATTGTCTCAAAAACAAAATTTACTCATTTTTAAGTCATGATTGTAGGGCCATGTCTTTGTTTTTCTTTGGACAATTCCCAAGATGGCTTTCACCTTGCAGGCTGTCCTGAAGGTTCGTTCAGATATGGCTCAGTATACCACTACAAAAAACAACCACACTTTTTGCTTTAATGTGTAAATGAAGGTCAGCTGCATGCAAAAAATAGTCCTGCATGTACATTTACTTACTAAGCTCAGTGTTATAAAAGAGCCCCAGCAATTTTGCCGTTTCATATCTGGGAGATCCTTTACTCAGGCCCTTATTCAGCCTCGTACTGAATATGCACCTGTTCCGCTGTAGTTTGGGGTTTAACGTGTGGATTGTTTTCCTAGTTAATTGAAGTTAATTTGTAAGGATAAACTGTTCAAAATGTCAAATCCCCCCCCCCCCCCCCCCCGCCCTCCCTTTCCCTGACTGTTGAATAATTCATAGTCATGAATATATGCATAATTTTTTTCTTCCTGATCTCTAGGAAGAATTGAAGCACGACAAACCAGTTTCAAGATGAAGGGATTGGTTATCATTTTCCTGACTGTGGTGAGTTGGACCAGTGCCACCTCTCGTTTTAACCTGAGGGAGCCTTGCTACAAACCATCTTTTGATGCCGGAATTAAGGAAGTTAGGTAAGACTATTCTATTCTAACTTTACACTTTATGGTACCTTAAGTAAAAAAAACCTCTAATTCTTAGTTCTTAATCTTCATAATAATATTACATGTACATGTATAAATTACATTAGGATTTGGTCTTGGAAGTCATTTGATATTTCTGTAATAATATTAATCTACTAAAATTCCAGATATTGTCCATTCTTGCGACAGATCTACTACCTGAAAGATAATTAAGGTCTTCACACTGATGATTATTATGATGATGAATTTGTGAAAATGAAACTTACAAGCATTTCAAGAGGACTAATTATCATCTTAGATCAGATGTTGTTTGACAGTCTTCCACAAGGAAGGACGGAGGTAGCACTCACGTGATAATCATTAAATCTGGCAATGATGGAAAACTGAATCTCGCAGATTTAATCAAAACTAAAAAATTAAGTATCAATAAAAAAAGGCATAAAAAATTCAATTAACTGTTATATTTTTACACAAGATTATGTTACAAATAGAGGACTTGCATGTATGAGCACCACTCCTTACTTCCAAGGTTCTGTTATTGATAGTGAAGATGAGTTCTCACAGCAATATGGAAAATGAACCTTGTGATCCATAAAAAAGAATTTCTGTTTCGGTTTAATAAAATTTGGAGTGGACTATTAGGCTATTATTCTTCTTCTTCTTCTTATTATTATTATTATTATACATGAAATTTAATTTGCCTTAAATGTTTGTACAAATTGTATTCATCCTTCATGCATAGTTATAATGCTTTTTAAAAACAACATACATACCGGTACTATAAACTTTCATAAAGGCAAAGCAATTTGTTTTACTGAAGTACAAATGCATGAACTTGTAGTCATTGATTTTAGTACTGTTGTTTGATTTGAAGTGTTGAGAGAAGATCAGTACTTCCAAAATAGAAAAAAAATGTATCAGAAACTAGAAAATAAAATAACATCTAATTATCTATAGGTATATGAATACAGCCAACAAAGACATTAGAATGAATTAGTTTAATATTTTGAATTGCAGAAAATCCAACATTTCAGTTGGGGCTCTACCCACAGCATTTGACTGGCGAAATGTGAACGGCACCAACTTTGCCAGCACTACCCGCAACCAGCACATCCCCACCTACTGTGGTTCCTGTTGGGCAATGGGCACCACCAGCGCTCTGGCAGGTGAGTTAAAGTAGACATTCTAACAGTATGCAAACTGGCCCAGTGCACATTTCTGAAGATTTCTAATGAATAATCAGAGATATATGAAGCCAAGATAAGTTATTAAAAAATGTAGTTTGTTTTTGTTTGTAATCTTTGAAAGTAAATCCTTGTGTACAGTGAAGAATAATTGTTTACTCAACTGGGTCACTCATTTCTGTAACGATACCTACACAAATGATTTCATTTTTTATTAACTCAATTTTTCAAATGATGTCAAATGATCATTGTATGCTTGTAAACTGCTCCTTCTAAGACTTCAACATGCACAAACTTATCTATTGCTTGCAGTCACAACATATTTGACCACGTACCGTAAATATATAATGTTCATACCCAATTAACAAGGTTTTTTTTCTTTCTTAAACACCCTGTAGCGTAGTTAACCACATGTACCTCGAGATTTCATAATAAATTCAGCTGCCCACCACATTGCCCGAAGAAGATATTAAGAAGAGACATATTTCAGTCTCATAACAGAAAATACATTTACAGTATACATTGATACATTTAGAGTATACATTGATTGTATGTAACAGTTTCAGGGAAGCTGATCATTAATATTTTTGGATTTGTTTTATTGAATTTTATTTCTGCATTTTTCCAAATATACCGTAATATAACTGAATAATTAAGAACATACTGGTATTGGTATACATATATATAATAAAACAGATTTAAACAATAATTACTTCATGTAAATTTTTTTTTTTTTTTTTACATATATACATATAATAACAAAACTTTATATTTCCATTACATATTATCATAAATTTTAAGTATCTATTGAAAAAGTGCAGGAGACCCCAATCATAAGCGATACTTGATTAGGATGGCGGCCACCCCCAAAAACAATCTTAAGGTAAAAGTTAAAATAAAAAAATGTTGCTTAAAATGAAAAAAGTGTTGCCCTGTTGCAATAGTGTATTCTGCTGCTTTTTTTGCAACTGCTTTCTTCATTCTCTATTACAGATTGTGATTCTGACTTGGGTTAGGAATGTAACATATAAAACAAAAATTCTAACATCAATCTAAACCTGAAGATTTTATCTCAGCATTTTTCATTTTTCTCTTTCTCTTCTTCCAAGATCGAATCAACATCATGCGAGGAGGTGCGTGGCCTTCCGCCTACCTGTCTGTTCAGAACGTCCTAGACTGCGGGGGTGCCGGTACTTGCCACGGGGGCGGTCAGATTGGGGTGTACGCCTATGCCAAAGAAACTGGCATCCCTGATGAAACGTGCAATAATTACCAAGCAGCGGATCAAGGTACAGGCATGGCAGGACGCTTGGGTCATTACTATTATTGATTTTAGGTTGGGGGGGGGGGGCAATAAAGAAAATACATGAGAAATCAGAGAACAAGTATAGATAAAAGATATTTCAACCACCAGCATGCTGAGGACAGAAAAGGTGAATCCAATAACTGTGGCTAATAGCCTTCTTTCCCAGTACCAGTGGTTGTAAACGTAGAGGATAAACATCAGTTTACTATATTATACAAGTGCCTCGGTGAGTCACGTTTCAGATACAGTCAAACCTGTCTATACCGACCACCCAAGGGAAACACAAAAAGTGGCCTTTGTAGACAGGTGGTCTTTGTAGACAGGTTCCTTTAGTACATGATTCAGTGAGAAACCATTTTCAAGGGAAACAAAAAATGTGGCCTTTGTAGACAGGTGGTCTTTGTAGACAGGTGGTCACTAAAGCAGGTTTGACTGTATAAATAAGACGGGAGCCAGCAGAGGTCAGCCTAGCTGGAAAGGTTACCAATGTTCATGGCTATAACTTATAAAGCTGAAAAGAACAGAGATTATATTAAAGTAGTTTCATCGTTACACCAGTTTCATAGTTATACTAATTTCATAGTTACACTAGTCCTAAGCTAATACATAGTGTAAGGATCAAGGGTAGAATTGATTTAGAGTTGCTCTTAAAGTATCATTATCTTGAGTTCTCATGGGAAATTTGATGCAATTCAGGTATTTTCCCAATGGAACTGATGTTGTCAATTGATCAACGAGATTGGACCATACGTTTATGACTGATAGTTTTTACCAAAGAAAAATTCATCATTGCAAATTCCTTACCCAAACCATGACTGAACACTTTCCAATCTTTTACAGCAAGTTGTAAGCGGGCCACGAGTTTCAGCGCCTTCTCGTAAAGAATAGCATGCGCCTTTAAAAGAAATGATATTCTTATTTTAACATCATAAAAAGAACATAAAAATCATCAAGAGGAAGAAAATACAAGAACTCAAAAAAGAAGAAGTAATAAATAGGTATACAAATATGTGATTAGAGAAAGGGGCTTGAAAAAATTAAACTAAAGAGATCAAATCCGATGGATATTGCCATAGAAAGAGGAAGGAAAAGGCTATAAAAACGGCTGTCACATTTTGATGAGCCATATATACCTCAAAAAAGTTTCTGTCAAGCAAGAAGAAAAAGTTACGATGTCCCCTTGTGCCTCCACCCCCCCCCCCAGTACCCTGTATGTGCTTCTACATGTGTGGATGTATGTATGTATGATACACTGACTTAACATATTTTATGTACAAAACCAATTGTCATTAGACTGTTTCCTTTTTTCCTAGAATGTGATCCTTTCAATACATGTGGCACCTGTACAACGTTTGGTCAGTGTCATGTTCTGAAGAATTACACAGTGCACAAGGTGTCCGAATACGGCAGTGTGGCAGGGCGCGGCCCGATGATGGCCGAGATCTCTGCTAGAGGACCTATCAGGTATTAAATGATGTCGTGCTGAGTATATTTGTTTGATGGCATTATTTCACAAACATTTTTGACTGTGATGGGATAAAATGTCTTTAAAAAGGCAAACTATGATATTAATTGGAAGAAAAAAAGACATTTATCGTAAAAATAATATGCACTTGATAATCCCAGTACGTTTCATTTATGAATTACAATGAGATTGTAAGATCCTTAGTTGTAGGACAAATCGGACATGCCCGCAATGTGTCATCAAGCCACGTGACCATATTTCCTTTTTACGAGGGGTGTAGTAGCCCAACAAGCGTGAGATCTGTGAAAAATGGATGGTTATTATCATTTTTTTTGTTTTTTAGAGATTTTCTGAAAAATCAGAGGCTGGAATATTAATAAGTAGAGGTGTATTCATGTTTTGAAATGCTATGTTAAGCTATGGTCACAAATCAGAGCAGCGACCGACCGATCAGTAGCCTGCTCAGTCGCTGCTGGAATTTAGGCATCGCCGAGCGATTAGGTCGGAGCCCGGGCGGCAACCGCCCAGGCACCGAGCATATTTTGGGCAGCGACCGAGCTATGCCCTAAAAACGAGCGGTGCCTGGGCGGCCGCCGCTCGGTGGCCGGGCAGCCGCCGAGCAGAATTGGTTAAAAACTCGCCACTCGGCTGCCGAGCAGGCTACTTTTGGGTAATGTGACCATAGCATTAGTTGGGTTAGAGTGGCCCTTTAATACACTAAAATCTTTGGAATGGTGGATGACTTATGGCACACAATAGCTTTGACTTGCCCGATGTCATTTCCCAGCACATTAAACACATTTGCCGCTCTCCACCTACATAGATAAAGTAAATGGGTACCTGGTAGGAAGGAATTCCTTGAACGTTTCAGCGCCTTGTTATGGCAGCTCAGCTACAGCCGGGATGATAATATGATACTTTGTATTAAAGGTATACCCAGTTCTGGTCATGCGATTGCATTGTGAAAGAAACATTGTGGAATCGATCAGAAAATGTTGATCATCTAGCATGTAAGTATTGGTGTGTACTGCAAGGTTCTGGAATCATCAAAATGATTAGAAATTTGGCCCAGTCTTGGTAAAGTTACAAGCACTGTACACAGAAAGATGTATATGGGACTACGTGATATCTATCCAGTCTGGATAGCTATAATAATTTACCAAATATATCAATTAGTAGGCGGTTTCCCGGCAAAATTTGTATCATCACGTATTAGTCCAAACATATTCTTTCACATGATTGGTGATAAGAGCTTCCATTTCATTTTTTTGAGAGAGGGTTGATCATCGTTTCCAAAACCTTTTAGCGCAGTAGAGTGTATTCATGTATGTAGCAGCTGTGCTATATAAATGGACCTATTATTACAATAATTGAATGAATGTTGTTTTCTTTGCACCTTCTTGTAGCTGTGGAGTCATGGTGACTGAAGCGTTTGATGCCTTCCAAGGAGGAAAGGTCTATGCTGAATACCAAAGCACGATCTCAGTAAGTCAAACCCAGAATCCGCATATATAGGATGCTCCTAGATCGCAGTTGCTCTGCGAATTACCTTATCAAAAATATATGAATAAAAGAAGTTCATCACAGTTAATCCTGTATATAAAGGATGCTCAAGGTTTTTATGCACAGGTTCCTTTAGTACATCATATTTCAATGAGAAACTAAATTTCAAGGGAAACATCTTCTTTTTTTTAAATGTGGTCTTTATACTCAGGTGGTCGCTAAAGCAGGTTTGACCGTTCCAAAACGTGATCATGATGCAGTACACATTACATTGTAAATACAGTTCTTTGGTTAGGCTTTAAAAAAAAGATGTTGTATGGCCCTTTACAACCGACCCAAAAATCTTGAAATCTATGGTACGTTTTTTTTTACCGTTTTTTAGAAGAAAAAAATGTGCATTAAGGAAAAAAAGGGAGAAATATCAGCCCAAAGAGGGAGAAAAGTATTTTTTTTAAAGCATTTGAAAAAAAAAAAAAATTCTGACCGACCGACCCATGTTTTGGCACCTAAAGGGCAATACAACAACTTTTTTTTTTTAGGCCTTATACGACAGCACGGAAGCTACACTGCTAGAAGGTTGTGGCACCCTTGTTGAACAAATTACATATAATACACACTTGCATTAACCTATCACCTTTGGTAACAGGTTGGCTCCTGTAATAAGCCTTTGGGAATGAGACGATTAAGCAGTAAACAGGTTAAATAGTTTATGTGCCTCGTGACAAATACAAATAACGTGCATTATGCAAATAGATTACATGTATGGTTAATTTTACTGTTGCGATTTGGTTTTGAGGTCAGGTTTTTTAGGGGGGTTGCGATAAGGGTTAGGCACATGCCTCTGGGCATCAGTGTTGAACTTATCTCTTTGCATGTGTTTGTTTATTCTTATTATGTACTTGTCTCTTGCCATGCCGTATTGTATTTGTGCTTTTTTTTAATGAATGGTCAAATAAATAATAAAGGTGTAGCGTTTGGTCCAAGGTTGAAGTTACTACCGGTAATTGGAAGACTGTAGGAACTAACGTAATTAATAAATATATTGCCCCACAGTGATATTGAAATTGGCCTTTGCCCAGAGATGTGGTCAAGGTACTAAGTACAGTCATCAGATAACAAATGAACAATGAGGGTTCAATAAACAATATTTGTGTAGAAATATGAGTTGAGTTGAGGTATTATTATCCAAACGTTCATAAACTATTGTCGGAGGTGACCTTAATACAATAAGTAGTAAACATTTCTATTTTATCTCACTCCTTTGTTTGTGTCCTTCTCTCCTCTGCATTTGATTTCTTTCATTCGCTCTCTCTCTCTATCTTTCTCTCTCTCTCTCTCTCTTTCTCTGTCTTTCTCTCTCTCTTTCTATCTCTTTCATTATCTGTCTTTCTTTCTATCTCTCTTTCCATCTCTCTAAACCCTATCTCTCTCTTTCTTTTTCTTCCTCTCTCTCTCTCTTTATCTCTCTCTCTCTCTCTATCTCCTATGTCTCACTCTCTATCTCTATCTCCCTCCCTCTCTCTCTCTCTCTCTTTTCCTCTTTCTCTCTCTTCCTCTCTCTCTCTCTCTCTCTCCCTCTCACTCTCTGTCTCCATTCCTTCATTCCTCAATCATGCAGATCAACCACATTGTGTCCGTAGCTGGCTGGGGAGTGGATGAGACTGGAGTGGAATACTGGATCGTGAGGAACTCTTGGGGTCAGCCCTGGGTGAGTATCTAGGTGCTCTTCAACACGCACACAATACCCCAGTCACACCGGACTAAACAAACAAATTAAACACCTTAAAGGCATCATTTAACAATGTTAAATCTGAGATGCACGGCCCTACGTGTTATCAGTGTCTGTGATATGGTGTAATATTGAAGCCCTAAACAAAATTGCGCTTCAAATTGATCAAGAAGTGCTTCAAAAAAATTAACAATTTTGAGTGACCGGTTTTACCGTACTCGTTTTCCCCAATAGACTGTAGTGTTATGAAAACCATTTGGCAAACGGTTTTCAAATTTGTAATTCCAATCATAAATATCTTGATAATCAGACAGGCGATCGGCTTGTAAAAGTCGTGGGGTTCCTGATTGACCTAAAGGTTTATAATTATGATTGCAGCATGAGCTAAATCCAGGATTTTGTTTCAGAGTCTGAGACAAAGTTACCGGATCCCTTTAAAGATAAAGTCAAGTTCAGGTCATGCGATTGCATTGTGAAAGAAACGATGTGGGATCGATCAGAAAAAGTTGAACATGTAGCATATAAGTATCGGTGTGTACGGCAAGGTTTTGGAAATCATCATAATGATAAGAAATTTGGCCCAGTCTTGGTAAAAGTAACAAGCACTGCACATAGAAAGATGTATAAGGAACTATACATGTGGCATAAAAATAAAGCCCACATTTTTAAGCTGTTACATGCCATATTTAGAATAAGAAGGCATTTGAAGAGCCATGCTTTTCAGGAAACATTTTTTCTTTGATGTTCTTCAACACTTGCATAATAACAATGAAAACGCTCACAATTATTTTCACCTCTTCCCAGAACTCGATCTTCTCTTTAAACAGCAAATTATATTTTGGTTTGGTGGTGTGACTAACTTACAACACACTTTTTTTTTTTTTACTGTTTTCAAATGTGTGTGTACACCATTTAAACAACAATTGCTTTTGAAATCCCCAATGCGATAATGAAAGGGTCTGTGAAACATTCTGATTCAGCCATCCACACTCTAGGGGAAATACCCCCTGACCCACCACACACCCCGGACAACTACCCACAGGTACAATTGTCCTAGTGTCCTGGGGCAGGTAGTCCTGATTGGAAGTTGTCTAGTACATGGGCACTTGGCAACATTTTATCTATATATGTATTTATTTATTTATTTAGTGTTATTTTATTATTTTTGAGGGGGGGGGGGGGGGTCTACAAGTAGTATCCAGATGTTTTTAGGATTTTGTTATACTCATCTCCATTGGATTTTAACCAATCATTCTATGGCCCAGTTTTTAATTTATTGATATTGAAGTTGAATGTCTTAAAATATGTCTCATGTTTTATTCTATTTATACTTCTCCTATTGACAGGCCGAACAGGGGTGGGTCCGTATTGTGACCAGTGCCTACAAGAGTGGCGCAGGAGATAGCTACAACCTCGGTATTGAGACCGAGTGTGCCTACGGTGTCCCCATCGTGAATTAAAACCAACGAGGACTAGAACCAGGGACCTACAGTTCAAAAGCCTTTCTACCGTCACAAACCACTTTCACAGATCTGCACATTTGTTCGTGCATGCTACATGCACAACTCAGCAAAGATAAGTTTCTTGTTTATGATGTACTTAGAGCCAGAGGGCTTTAACTTTCATTTTGCAACACAAAGTTAAAGACCTCCTGGCTATCGAGTGACATTTTTTAAAACTCCAAAATGCATAATTGTCCAGCTAATGTAACGACCAACTTGCAGAGTCGGTAACATTTATTACTAATTGATATTTTCAACCTCATTGTATGGAAGGTATTGCTGAAAGTGAAATTGTTGCAATTTTTTAATCCTATATTATCCTATCCTATACAATGTCAACTAAACTTAATTCATGACCCATATGTTGAATTTTGATATTTGAAACATGGGTGGGGAAATTCTTTTCTATATTCATTGATTTTGAGACCATTTAGGAAATTGTAATCCTTTTAGGTTATTAAATACTGTTGCATATATATATATATATATATATATATATATGCCCTTGAGTGATGGGCTCTGAATGCTTGGTCTCTGGTTCAACCTGGTGTGTTATCAGAATCATGCATTAGCAAATCTTTCATATTTGTTTTTTTGTTTTTTTATCAGATTTTTACTAATAATTTTTTAATCATGAATGAATAACTATTGTCTTATGAAAAGTGTGGTACATATTAATCTTGCAAATACTTGAATATTTTTTGCAATCAGATTTTTTACTAATACATGTTTAATCATGAATAAATAGAACTTGTTTTTTATGAAAAGTGTGGTACATATTATGCTGATTATAGTATTTTTGTATGCATGTATTGAAAAGATTTTTTTTTTTTAGAACTTAGACTTTCAATAGGTGTACTGCAAATGGTATAAGAGAGTGAAATGTACAATACATATACATGTAGTAGCAGTATCTTCTAAGAGTTTGAGTATGAATGCATATTATATCTGTCATCGGAATTGATATATTTTAGAGTAGGAACTTAGCACAGAGGTTATCATTTCATCAAAAATGAACCTTAAAGGGAAAAGACTAGAAAAGACAACACTCCAAACAATGACAGGAGATGAATGAAGGTAATGTCAATGATGAAGAACAAAGATTAATACAGGGTGAGAAAGTAAGAGGGTAGCTAATTCACATTGACAAGACAAATCCAGATTTTAAAAAATATACCCAGTAATGAAATTGTGGACCATACTGAAATACGTTGCTGATATGAGTTGGACATGCAATAAATTTTGTAAGGTTTTAGTTCAGAGTGGCTGTTCTGTTTAGTTTATTTCTGACGGTGCAATAGTTAAACTACTTTGAAAGAAAGGTAGATGTATTTTGAAAAGTAGCCAGAGAGATATATGAGGTTAAAGGAACTACTATTTATTGAGTTTTAGCTGTGGAAGTCAGGATTTATGCAATATAACAAGGCATTTAGGCTTCATTTTGTGCACATGCAAAACTGAAATTTAAAAAAAGATGAAGGTTTATTTTTAAGTCTTAAAATTGAATCTGAATGATTTGCCAAGTGAATTTTTGTAAGGTGTTCTATTTCTCATGCTTTTTTCCCCTTCTTCTATCTTGATATGAATTTATAGAAATATTTATCATTATCATCATCATTATATATCGATTCTGAGAAAAGTGCTGCATAGTTTTCCATAAACTGATCTTTTATGTCTTTATGGCTTTAATTATGAATCATGTACTTTCTGTATTGAAATGCCGCTGATACTCTTATATTTGGGATAAAAATCTAAACTGTTTGAGATATGTATTACATATAGAAGACATTGCAATGAGATGAAAAGTACTATAAGAAACAAACATGAATATGTGATGTGATTTTGAAGGAGTGACTGTTCTATTATCTATGTCACTATGTATTGTTAACTGCAAGAGGAGTAGGATAAGTATTTAACAAAATAAGATTTAAACAAGTTTTTCATTCATCACTCACGCACAAGTCATGATCTGCATATATTCTCAATTAAATTTCAAATATTATATTCGTCTTATGTATGTAGTTCTTTCAGTTTTTCTTTCCAGTTTTCTGATTCTGTGACACTTGATTAGCCCTCACAACCGAAATGCTATGTCCCACGCACTGATGCCTTTTGGTATTTTCAATTATAGTAGTATATAAGTACTTTATTGTCTTCTACTCTCTCTTTCTCTCTCTCTCTTTCTCTCTCTCTCTCTCTCTCTCTCTCTCTCTCTCTCTCCTCTCCCTCCGTTCTATCACTCCATTAACATGGGTTCTCTCCCCTCCACCCACCCCACCCCACCCTCTCTCTCTTCTCCAGGCGTGCCACAAGCACTTTGGGATGGGGGGGGGGGGGGCAAACATTCCAGGGGGCTCACCTTCCAGGGGCAGTGGCATAATGAGCAAAAACGTTTGGAAGGGGGGGGGGGGGCAAAAGAAAAGTCTACGTCACCACCACTCTTACACGTTACATGCAGGCCCCGCGGAACGTTTTCCAAAGTGGAGTATTAACGATCAGGTAGAGCGTAACCCCCGGAAGCTCAGGGTTTTTAGGCATTAAATTACAGTCAGATAAGCATATTTAGATACCTTATTTGTGACACTGGCAGGTCACTAATATGCGGGGAGTCCAGGGGGCAGAGCCCCGGAAGCTCAGGGGTTTTAGGTATTTAATTACGGTTAGATGAGCACCCAGGGGCACTCTTTAAGGCCATTGAGGTAGTCCAGGGGGCAGAGCCCCGGAAGCTCAGGGGTTTTAGGTATTTAATTACGGTCAGATGAGCATCCAGGGGACCACCTTTGGGCCCTTGGTGGGGTGCGGGGGCGGAGCCCTCGTAAGCTCTTGGGGTTTTAGGCATTCAATTACGGTCAGATGAGCATATTTTGATACCTCATTTGTGACGTTGGCATGTCACTTATTTTTTCTCTCTCTTTCTTTCTTTTTCTCTGTAACATACTTTTTCAAAAAAGTGGGGGGGGGGGGGGGGGGTCGAGCCCCTGAGCCCAGGCGTTTTGCAGGCCCTGACATGAAGGCTTCTAAATAAGCATATATTTCGCCCGACTGTAAATTTGGGTATTTCTAAATTTCCAACCAAACGCATTTACCCTTACTGTACTGGGGGGGGGGGGGGGAGGGGTGGGCCTGGGAGGCCCCCCCCCTCGACATTTTCGGAGATTGCGCCGCAACCTCTTGGAATTTTGAATTGTCGTTTCATGACTCTTTTTCCCTCAAGTCTTACGCACATTTTGATACCATTTTCTTCGAAATTGGATATACCTGTAAGGTGTTACATAACAATTAGTATGCGCATGTCATCAAAAATATGCTATAATTGCATTCATGTACAAGCAGAAATGTGAATATAGGTTTAGATGCATTTCTTCCAAGTGGGAGATATGAATTGATATCAAATTGCTTTTATATATTTCTCAAAGTAACTTGATGTATTCCAGAACAAAAGAATACATTAGAAATAAAACAATAGATATAAGAAATTAAAAAACAATGAAATACGAATCAAATTTGCATAAATTATCATTATTAATTACATCTAAATAACTAATTTGTGTTAGAAAAGAAGTTTTATATGAATAATGAGTTTCAATTAACATCCAAAAAGTGGAGTCTGACGATTTTTGTAATGATTCTAGTTCCCTGTATATTTCCAGATTTTATATTCATGAATGCGTATACATAACTTATGCAAATTAACCTATGCATTTTCAAATATCATAAAAATAATGTAACCTCATGAATTTGAGATGAAGGAAACATTTATTCAATACATTTCCAACATTCCTCACAAGTCTAAAGACAAATATGTAGAGTTTTCTGCATAAATGCATAAAATTAGCATTTTGCATAATTAATTAGGCTATAACGACAACATTTTGCATATTAGGAAAAAAATAATTATACCATCTTGTTCCTTATGTAAATATCTACAAACACGAAAATGTTAGTGTTCATCAGACTTTCGAAGGCCGAGATCATGGGGGGGGGGGGGGCCAGTCACGAGGTGTTCAAAATAGCCCAGTACAGTAAGGGTTAAAAAGGAACACTTACACAAAAATTGAGAAAAAATACCGGAAATCATGTCATTTCAGCAACATTTGTAAATCACTGGTATCGAATAAGAAATGACCCCTCCCCCATCGGTACGCCAGCGTTCAGGGGCTCATGTCTTCTCACCCCTATAACAAACAAAAAACAAAAAACACACGCTTTCCCACCCTCTCACAATGCTTCTACGATATGCGCGTATCGCTAATATAAAAACCTCCATTGGTAAATATAGGTGGCATGGGGAATGTTTAGGAAATTTAATTCCTGTTAAATTTCCTTGTCTTTAAATGGAATTTTATATGTGATTTAATTCAGGTTTTTATTATTGTTATGTTGTTTTGGGTTAAAAATACAAACCATCTTTACTCCTTTACTGCTTTTTTTGGGGGGGGGGGGGGGGCAGGGCGTTTTTTTTTTGGGAAAACGCATTTTTTTTTTTTTTTTTTTTTTTGGGGGGGGGGGGTTGGGGGGGGCAAGTGCCTCCCCCCTTGCCACCCCACTTCCGGCGCCTATGCTCCCCCTCTCTCTCTCTCTCTCTCTCTCTCTCTCTCTCTCTCTCTCTCTCCCTGCCTCGCTCTCTCACCAACCCCCTGTCCCTTTCGTAATCAAGCAATGATTAATCTAAAATGTTATTCAGTAGTTCCCAAATAATGAGTGAAACCAACAAGACGTGGGCGGCTATTTAAAGAGAAATTGTCGTTCTGTATACGGAGATAATGGAAAACCCGGATTTCACAAGAATTCAATGTTAAAGTCATTGATCCTTGCCTTACCTGCATGAGACCTACGCGACACTACCAGTCACGGTGAGATACTTTCTGAAATTTTGCCAAGGTTTGTCGAGGAATTTCATGGAAGGATCTGAAGAAAAAAAAAACTAAACATTTTGGTAAAATATTATTAACTCCTTCCGAGAAGGTTCTTCTAGAGACGGTCAATGAAATGGTATGTGTTGTAAAAAGCCTGTAGCTGGAGTTCGTGGGATACTGAATTACTTTTTACCTTCGGACACGTTGATCCGTTTTGAAGGTGGTAAAGGAAAGACGGAGAGGAGGGGGTGAGATTTAGGCGAAATAATAATCGGAAGCACACAATACACAGTTAATTTCACTTATTATTTGGGAAGGCATCAGTTACAATCTGCTTAAGGGTCGCAACTATCGCACCATTTGAAAATCAATTCGAATTGAAATCTCAGAACAGTCGTGGAGGTCCAAGTTAGTATATTCGTCATCCTTTGGAGCAGGAGTCATCAACAGTTCACTTATTCATCGACAATTACTTTGCGATGGATGGAAGAATGGTTTGACTTAAAGACAAGGAGAAAGAGTAATAATCTCCCTAATACTTAGCGGAAATCGTTGGGTTTTCCGCGAGTCATATCTCTTGAACCCGCCTTCCGACGCAACATTAATTTTGAGCGTAATACTTCATAGTTCATTGACGCATGATAAAGAAACAATGTGAAAATGTGTACATTGAATGAATAGATATACTGAAGTAAAAAACAGATATCAGTTTGTTAATATTAGTCAGTGATATGATCCGGGGCGGGTTAGGGTCAGGACACCATTCCGATTTTGTTTTTCTTCTGAAAAGCGGATTTCTTTCTTTATACTCAAAAATTTCGAAAGGGAAAACAAATATAACATTTTCAAAGGGCCTATTTGATGGACCATTTGAATAAGAAAAGAGCGACATTTGGGTGTTGTGTACTTGACGAATGCAACTTAGGTTTTTTAAAAGGAGGGTCTTTAGGCGGGACAGTTGTGCCCCCACCCCTCCAGAAAAAAATGGAGATGACAACTTAACTCAGTCAAGAAATCATGACACCACGTCCAGCATGTTACATGGTTAATTAAAAGTAAATATTTAAGATGCCAATTTTGTTTAAGTATATAGCCACGCGTGTAATAAATAAAGATTGATAAATTGATTTCTTGTCATGATAATTGCCTTGAAAATATAATTTTGAACAATATACGCATTTACACACTTACACTTATATTATCGCATCATATACGTACGTCACAAATCATTATTAAAAAAATATGTTTATCCTTTTTTCAGTTCGAAAATTCTACAAACTTCCCAAAACAGAACAGTTGATAAGTAAAAATATTAACTACTTATGGCGAATAAAAGAGGGATTGTCACTAGATCCACTCAACCGTATCCTACTGGAATAATTTTCCTTACTTTTTGTATGACCTTTTACCGATTTTATCCTCGCGGCCTCGGGATTTACCTTTGTAATTGTGCATCAGCCCGCTCATGCATGGACATATATTGTTTCGCAAATATATTAAAAAAGCGTGCAGAACTGAGCTAACAACAGTCGGATCGGCAACAATGAACAGCGGCAATTTTTATTAAGTTTGTATGCTTCATTTCTCATTTTTGTCATTTTTGGGGGTGAAGATCGACGTAACTGCACTGGCGTGCAAAACGTTCGACATCGAACTACTGAGGAGAGATTACCACCAAGTTATTTCTTACTTTAATTCCACTTTGGTAAATCATTGTATTGTTGTATGCCAATACAGCATGAAATTAATATTGATTTTGCTAAGTTTCACCGGAGCCCTTGTTCATGGCGACGTCGATGTCGGTGCTGGTGCTCATGGACATCGAACGAAGCGGTCAACGACCTTCTCCGCCGCGGAGATTCAAGGCATCGTCGATAAGCACAATGAGTACAGGAGTATGGTGTCCCCGGTGTCATCCAGCATGAGATATATGGTGAGTTTCTCTATTCATTGATCCAAGCTTCTGTAAAATGCAGATAAGAGTGAGGGAGAGAGAGAGAGAGAACCTTTCATGACGCGAAATTAATGAATCGTATAACACCGAAATAATGCAATTTGCGAAAGCTTTGGGCGTTAAGTAATATGTGTGTCCTTTTTACCCAGGTTAGCCTCTTCAGTATTAGATACTCTTTCTAGTAGTAGTAGTATAGTAGTTGTAGTAGTAGTAGTAGTAGCAGTAGTAGTAGTAGTAGTAGTAGTAGTAGTAGTAGTAGTAGAAGTAGTAGTAGTAGTAGTAGTAGTAGTAGTAGTAGTAGTAGTAGTAGCAGTAGTAGTAGAAGTAGTAAAAGTAGTAGCAATAATAATAATAATAGTAGTAGTAGTAGTAGTAGTAGTAGTTGTAGTAGTAGTAGTATTAGTAGTAGTAGCAGAAGTAGTATGGTAGATAAGACCGGTGATGAGTCCAAATACTGTTCTTCCTTACGTCCGTGCCATTACTATTTCCCCAGCACTGTCAGGTATCCATTATTTATAGGGGGGCTACACATGGGTTGCGAGGAAAATGAGGGTTATACAGACGTCTTGCCCAAGGATGTAAGCACCAGCACGTTTTGAACCCATGACCTCTCGTATGAGTGTTAGGAGCCTATCACTGCCACCTTTTATATCATACAGACTTTAGAGGTTTATTATTAAACATTTAATGAAACCATGTCACCCATGAATAATTAGTCTGAGGTCTTATTTTGGAAGTTTAAGCTTTTGTTGAAAGGTTATCAAAACCTTTCAAAAATTCTAGAAATATCGACTGAAGAGTTCTGTTTTAGCATTCATTTCAGTTTTATAATAGTTCGTGAAAGCTAAAATGACGATCATGAAGAATTAAACCACACCCCCAAAATGAACTGTGTTGGAGTTACTGATCCTGAAATAAATTCCTGTACACCCTTCTACGACAAAGGTGTCGTCTCACTTCGGTAAAGCCCTTTTTGCCAAGCAATCACAATAGCTCATGCACTTTTTTCACGATGACCCCGTTTTTATTATTGGAATCATTTGTAAAGTAACAGGCGAATTATATCATGCGAAAATGATGATAACAGATAATGGTGATGTACTTTTGTGACTTACTTTTGTAACGTTTTGGTGGTTACTTTTTCCCTGAATTTCGATTTGGTCGTTTGTAAAGCAAAATTTGTAAATTTTGATTACAATTCATGAATATATATATCTTTGAGAGAGAAAATAAAAAATCTCAGCAAGAAACTTAGAAACTTCGAATTCGTGGTAAAAACTACTCGACTTCTGTACCCCTTCTGTCAAATTTCGAACTAAAAAGCAAAAGGGTTTTATGTTTACAAACGTGGAGGAGATTTCGCACCATCAGAATATCGGGGTGAATGTTCGTCTCGCTAAACATTCTATTTCACGTTCTAGTTGGTTGATCTGAATTGAATTGAATTTTTGTCTTCATCATCATGACAATATATACAAAGATAAAAGATGGAATACCAGAATATTTTGATATAATTTACACTGGCCCAGTTCTCTACTTGGGCATGGAATCAAAAGAATAAAAACAACGGTTCGTTGGCCTGTAAATTCGCATGGAAATAATATTTGTATTACAAAAAGGAAAAATGGCCAGCCCACGCTTTACACTATGAATATGACGGACAAAGAAAGCGGACAAAATATACAGTTCCTCAGGTAGACAAAGGAACACCCCTTCACTGCTATTATGTAAAAAGTGATTATGCATGTGACACCTGTTCTACACATTTTTACATAATAGCAGTAAAGGGATGTTCCTTTGTCTACCATAGGAACTGTATATTTTGTCCGCTTTCTTTGTCAGTCATATTCATAGTATTAATACCTCAATAATATATATGCAAATAAAAGCAAAAGCCTAAGATTGCCTATACGTATCACGATGCAACTGTGAAAGCAACACACATAAGAACATGATGCCACTTCAGGCTTTCAGCAGTTCAGATGCAACTATTGGTTCCAGCAAAGTCTAAAATACTCTTAAAATGTACAGTAATGGAGTCCAATCTTGAAGAGCCATTCAAACCACTACTTAGGGTGGATTCCATTGTATTTTAGGATACATTTCAACTCTTAATAAATAGTGGTTTTCCAATCCTCTGCATTTACATGATTAGGTACTTCATGAATCTAGTCTAATAGTTTATATTCTTTCGCAGACACCCACCCCCATTTTCACTCCTTGTTCTCTCCCAATCTGTACTAATTTGTAAGCAGTACCCATTTTCAAAGTTTTATAACTTTATTTTTCTTAAATTAAGTAGACCTTGAACAAAATCATTGCAGGAATCACTTGCCTCTTTGTGTTCAAAACGTCCCAACAAACAAACAAGTCTCCGCTCATTGACCGGAAAGTCTTATACATGTATGAATGCCAGCTTTTCAGCTCGAGTAAATTTAATTTCATGCATATCGGTTTTGCATTCACTGCACTGTTTGTCTCCTTATTTGGAGCTATTTATTATACAAATAATACACAGCAGTGACGGCATTAGTAAGAATTACCAACACAAGGTACCTTTGGAACAGTCTAACACGGGACTGTTTTGAAGGTACCGAGTGTGGGTAATTGTACTAATCATCTTATAAACTTGGATATTATACACGTATGATAAAATCAATTATCAAGGATAGGTCATCGAGGATTGCTAAGAGGTACTGCGCTACACTGTTGTCAATAAAGTTAGAATACCTCGTTCCATGATATGATTGTGATTACATATAATCCTTGATAGATAAAGTTTATATCATCTACGAACTTTTATATATGGAAAAGGGATTCTTTCTTGACTTATCTTGGAGAAAGAAAATGTATTCTCCACAAAATTTAGGAGAATTAATACATAACGCAATCTTGATCAAACATCTAAGAACATTTTTATACAAAACAAAAGGTTATGTTGTAGCGTAAAATGCCAACACACAAACAACCATTAGGGCATGGGAGCGGGAGCACCCCTGAATCAGTGAGTCGATGTTTCGGGAGGGGGGGGGGGGGGGGCTGCATGAAGGGCAGATGCGTATCCATCCCCTGATCATTAGGAGAGGCAAAATATTTCAACTTACTTTAATCTACAAACTTGTAAAAGAGGACCTGGTTTCGCTTCACGGGGGGGGGGGGGGGGGGTCCATCACTCAAAATGACTTAAGGTAGACAAATTAGTGTTTTAAGAATACGTCTTCACTATGTGCGTCTTTGTTTGTTTTACTACACAGTGATTCCTTACTGCTTACTTCTAGTGAGACTGCTCTTGTTTTCTTGGTCAGAAATATTTCTGGATGAAAAAATACTCCCCCCCCCCCCATTGCCCCTCTTTCGAATACGAGGGTGCTTCAGGGGATGTTACGCGTGCTGTCATCAATTTGGGGAATGGCATCCAAAAATGACGTCATTTGTTTTTACGGTAACTGTTATTAGTGTTAATAATGTAAAATTTGAAGGTTCAGAAAGAAAATGCATGAATAAACTTGGATTTAGACATCCGTTGATGTAAGTGCAATTGCAATACAGTCGCAATATAATGACTAATCACTATTAATGCATCTACAGAGTTGTAAATAATCAGTCTGCCTGACCGTCGAACAGATAGATTCAATAAATCCAAAGTCAGTTTGATCTATATTTGAATATGGATCATCTGCAGTCTTGAATAAGAGATGGCCTTTCAGGGTCGAATGCACATCAATGATATGAACTATAGACCCATAGAGGAAGGTTACAAGTTCTTTTTTGACAGCTTTCAATCTCCTTGAATTCCTTTCTATATCTTCCTATTCTTTTTACCATAACGGAAGACACCATACCAAACACCACTCTTCCAAAACGCTCTTGCAGAATGCGCACTCGTCTCCACATTCCACTTGACCAGTCCTCTCCAGACAGCAGAAGAGGCGTCGGGTCAAGTTGAAGTGTTAGTTAAGGTCATCCGAAGAATTCCGAACAATACGAATTAGACAGAAGAAAAAAAATAACACGACCAATAGAGCTGGACATACCATCAGCGCCACTTTTCAAAGAATCCCCCTCTCTTTAATACCCCAATCCCCGGTTGGAAAGCTACCCTATAGGACAGCTACCCCAGGTATTGAAGAACTCTGACTCTTCAACTTCTTTTAAGAGCAACCTTAAATCCCATTTGTATAATTTCGCGTTTTGAAGACAGACATTCATTCATTCTTGCATTTTTGCATTTTTTTCCTTATGTAAATGTACACGTTTCTTTGTCATGATATAATGTGTGCCCTTATTTTTTGAAGCGCCTTGAGCATTTAATCAAAATGGATAATGGTGCTATATAAATCTCATGTATTATTATTTATTATATTAATCAATCACAGCTCCAATTATAAATAGATAATGGATGTTATCAATTGACTTTCCAAGCTCTTGGTAGCATAACAATACAAATCTTCACATTGATTGGTAATTATCATGGAAAGTCCACACCGCTTTCTTAAAATGTAAATTGCTTTCAAGAAGTATAGGTGTTATCAATAGACTTAAACATTATCCCCCCCCCTAATATTTTACTAACCACATATTCTACGTTGTTGCTACCAAACTTTATTCATGGAATATAAGCAGGAGGAAATTGTTCTAAAACTAAAATTGAACAAAAGAGCCACGAGGACAATATCTTCTGCACATTATCGTGCACATATACGTATCCTATATTTCATACAAACAATTTTGTTGTTTAAAATAACAGACTTATACTTTATACTCTTACATCGAAATATTATATATCAACTAAATAAAGGTGATCTGCCAAAGGTGTTCATTCCTATGTTTGTAAAAAAAAAAAATATGAAATTCATTCCTACCCCTCCAGGCAAAAATTGTATTTTCATCTTTCCCTTATGTGCATATTTTTGGCTCGCGAAAAAATAACATATACAGGGGGGTGTTTCACAAAGATCTCAAGTCAAACTTAACTCTAAGTTGGACTTAAAAATTATGGAGAGCCATTTGTAGCCTTAAAAAAGTATATTCAAAAGCAAAAATTCAATTATTTTTGGCTTTTTATAAATTCCAAACAAATACATAAAATTTCCTTGATAATAGAAAATATGACTGATTTAAATCAACATTTTATGCCTTTTAAAATAAATTTTACGAAATATTTTCATGGATGCTAATGGCTTTCATAATTGTTAAGTCCAACTTAGAGATAAGTTCAACTTAGGATCTTTTTGAAACACCCCCTGGGCCCCTCATTTCGGATTAACTTGGACTTAAAAAACACGCCAATCATCCTCACTATACTCCTTTGAGCGTAAGCTCAGATATTCATTTTTATACTGCAAACATTTTTGCCTATTCATTCCTCTCTCTCTCTCTCTCTCTCTGTCTCTCTTTCTCTCTATTATCAGGTTTACAAAAGTTATACAAGCTTTATTTGTTTTGCTCTGGTGACCATCGCTATTTAAGTACTACTTCTTTGTTTCCATGTTATTCATAATAGTTATGTGTCAGTGAGTCAAACTTGTATGACGTCTTTCTTTATTGCTATCGAATTCAGTTACAATATTTTGTGTCTTATTCGGGAACCTACAATAAACAAGCTTTGCTTCCTAAAAGGTTCCCCATATTTAACACTGTTACTTATCAATGTTACATTTCTATCGTTGTTTTTAATTATCATTTTCTTGTTAAAGCTTATGTATGAGACAACCGTGCTGTGTGAAAATAAAAAACAACAACAAACAAAAAACAAATTAGATTAAAACATTGTAACAGTTCAGTAAGTAGTAAAATCTATATTCTCAAAGCTTTGTATGTAGGACTGAATATTTTTAAATCAATCACTATCCCAATTTCTATAATAGATATGAATGTTAAAAAAATATTGCTTTTATATTTTTGATATTTTTTGTTTGTTTTACACTGTCATGTAGAATATCGAATCAAATGTTACAATAGGCTATGCGAAACAAATTGAATTTTGATGCAAAATATTATTCATTAATTTGTATTTTTTTATCAATGCTGATTACCAATTTGTACGGCCTTTGATCATTGTAAAATCATCGCAATTCGGCCTTGCCGTACAGTTTTTTCTTTTTTAATCCATGATTATATTTATCTACCCTCGGACTACTACCCCTGATAACTATCCCCGGACAACTACCCAAGATAACCTTCCCCAGACAACTACCCCAGATAACTATCCTCGGGGGGAGGGGGCATGTCCTCTTGACAATTTTCCAGAGGGATCATCCCCTGTTATCACCATTATTACTACATATATTACTATTATTACTATAATTTTCATTCAATTCAATTTTATTTTCCACGCAGAGATGGGACAATACACTAGCCACTATGGCTCAGATTTGGTCAGACGGCTGCGTTTTCGCACACGGTAACCCTGACATCATGACAGAGTTCGATTACGTTGGACAGAATTTGTGGGCGGGGACCATTTTCGATGACGGTCGCGGAGCAACGACGGCCTGGTATAACGAGGTAGTCGATTATGACTTCGTCAACGGGTGTACGCCGGGGAAAGTCTGCGGTCATTACACCCAGGTGGGCGATTTTGTTTTATTTTCTTCTAAAAGCTGTTTAATTTTAATTCAGGAAAATATTCGTTTCATGCAAGGGTTGTGTAAAAACATAATCAGCAATGTAAAGACATGGTGCATGTATCTGTGTATGATTAAAGAGAAGGTTGAGTTCTGGGAAGAGATGACAAATAATTTGTGAGCGTTATCATTGTTATTATGCAAGTGTGGAAGAACATTAGATAAACATGCTCCCTGAAAAGCATGGCTCTTCAAATGCCTTCATATTCTAAATATGGCATGTAACATCGTAAAAATCGGGACGGATTTTTACGCCACGTTTTCGTGTAGTCCCATATACATCTTTCTGTGTACAATGCTTGTAACTTTACCAGGGGCGTAGACAACGGGGGGATGAGGGGGATGCATCCCCCCCACCTCACAAGGTGCGGGGGATGGCATGTACAATCATCCCCCCCCCCCCCAGGTTTTGGGGAATAATATTTGCTTACTTAATAAGTCATAATGATGATAATAATAGTAATAATAATAATGATAACAATTATAATATTAATAATAATAATAATTATGATGATGATAATAATAATCCTCATCATTATTGTAATTGTGTTTATTGTTATTAGCCGCATTCACACGGTGAAAGCCAATTCAGACGGTAAAAAAAAGAAAATCTTACAAGTATTTTGTGGTTATCTTGTGGTTTGGAAACCACAAGATAACCACAAGATTAAACAGGCGCGGATCTATGGGGGGGGGGGGGTTTAGGGGGTTTAACCCCCCCCCCTTGGGCGGCCCAAAAAACAAACAACAAAAAAAAAGGAAAAAAAAGAAGAAAAAAAAAGAAAAAAAGAAAGAAAAAAGAACGCACGCTGGAGAGAAACCCTTTCAAGTGCAAATATTGTGAGAAGATATTCAACTCATCTGGTAACTTAACCAAACACATGATAACTCTGGATATAACTGTGTATTTAACTGTTACTTGATTTAAAAAGACGTTATCATGCACTGCTTTTTATGGTCTCCATTGTGTTAATAGATGCCAGGAAAACATCACTTACGGGGTTCAAATAAACACCCCAAAAAAAATCGGCTCGCCGCTTCGCGGCTCGTGGACGATGCTCCGCATCGTCATTATTTTGGTCAACCCCCCCCCCTTAGCAAAAAGCTAGATCCGCCCCTGAGTCATCCCCCCCAGGTGTATGAACCTGTCTACGCCACTGAACTTTACCAAGACTGAGCCAAATTTCGTATCATTTTGATGATTCCAGAACCTTGCAGTACGCACCAATACTTATTATGCTAGATGATCAAACTTTTCTGATCGATTCCACAACGTTTCTTTCACAATGCATGGAGTCGCATGACCAGAACTCAACTTTATCTTTAAATGCACTCTTTAGACAAAATAGACATTTGTGATTCTTCTCGTATAGGGCAAAATGGAAGAGAACCTCGTGCGATGGGTCACAGATTAGAGTTACCAAATTGTGTTTGATCAATTTCAGCTTTAAAAATCAAAATCTTTCTGTTTTAAAGCAGATTTTGCTAAAATATTCCATGTTCCAGTCATATATATTTTTTCTGCTTCTAATACAACCAATTTTATATCACGGTTGAAAATAAATTGATGCACCATAATCAGGGCTCAAATTAAATTTTTGTCCACGGGGGCTCTTCCAAAAAAAAATAGCCCCCGTGAACCTTCTCACGGGGGCTCTTTTAGTGCTGACGGGGGCTCTTATTTTAATACAAATTTCCATTGGATGAAACTCCTAAATTCCTTGGTATTTTATCATTATCATTTATTTAAGTCGGCATTCTCCCTCTTAGAAATTTACTTGTTACATAGCTGTATACTTTTATCCCCGTGATCAGTGGCGGATCAAGGGGGGGGGGGGGGCGGGGGCCGCCCCACCCCCCCCCTGGGAAAAAAGAAGGGGGAAATAAGGGTAATTCTTCTTTCTTTTTTTTTTTTGAAAAAAGAAGTGTTCCTTTCCCACTTGTATCACAGAGAAACAACAGTTTAAGTTAAGTCTAACGTTAATTTGTTATTAAAATGTAGAGTACAGCCCTTGGCCTTAGGCCTAATTTAGGTCGTAACTGTTACTGTTTGAAAATCTAAAGTAAAATTAGACAGTTTTCATGGTTAGACCAAGTAATTGAGAAAAAAAGTTTACCCGTCACTGAGACCAGGTCAATCAATCTTCTAGATCCATAATTAGGGTCTAACGTTAGTAGATATAAGGTAGATGCAGGCGCGGATCCAGCGGGGGTGAGCGGGCCTTGCCTCCCCCCCCCCCCCCCCCCCCCCCCCCCCCCCCCCCCCCCCCCCCCCCCCCCCCCCCCCCCCCCCTCTCCGCAAAAGAGAGAGAGAGAGAGAAAGAGAGAGAAGGAGAAGAGGGGAAGGGAAAGAGGAAAGAAAGGGAAAGAAAGAAGAGGAAGAAGAAAAGAAAAGGGGGAAGAAGGAGATCGGGGGGGGGGGGGGTGGGCGAAAGGGCCTTGCCTCCCAGGCTATTGCCTCCCCCAAAAAAACAAAATAAGAGAGAAGGAAGAAAGGAAATGGAAATAAAAAAGGAAAAGAGGAGATAAAGGGAAGGAAAATTGAGGAAGAAGTAAAGAAAAGAAGGGGGATATCATGCAGTTGCAATTTTCCCGCCAACAAGTTGCGGATGGGGGTGGGGCAAAAGGTCTTTGCCTCCCCCGCCCCCGCTAAAAAAAAGGGAGAGAAGGAAGGAAAAGGAAAAAAGGAGAGCTTAAAGGGACCAAAAAAGAGGAAGAAGAAAAAAAAGGGTGAAAAGAATTTCGATGCGGTGTTCGAGTAGAATTCTCGTAGCTTGATGCGACGAAGTGTCTCTATCCAGATATCTGTTGATAGTATTTAGAATATAGAAGCCTGATATGACCTTCTGCTCGTAACCGACAAATCACCGCATTAAAATTATATTGCAAAACACGATGGTGGATGAAACTTTCTAATATTCGAAGATATATGACCTTCAGACCATATTGTTTCATAATTTTTTATTCAATCAATCAATCAACGTCAAACAATTGATTTATCATCGCACTTCAATTTATTATTTCACCTTTTAATGTACTTTCATTCTTATGCATCACGAAAGAACACTGAATTGGAATTTTCAATGATTGTTTTGATTAATTTCCTCCCCTTTCCTTCTCCCTGTTTAATACTGATAAAATTTTCAATTTTTCTTAATCAAGGCAAAATATTATTTTCATATTTTCTTTATGCAAGACAGGGAGAGAGAGAGAGAGAGAGAGAGAATATGTTAAGTGAGAATTATCGAGTACAACTATGAATTGCATCTTTTTCAATATTATTCAATTCGCTGAAAATATTCAGAATATGAATATGATAAATCCACATAATACACCAACGCTGTTCAACGCATCCAACGCTCTAACCATAGCCCATATGCCAATGCACCATATTTATCAAATATGAAAAGATTTTTAAATGAAATTTGAAGAAAAATCAAATTTACAATGCACTGACAGGCATCAGTTGAAATCATGATTTCTCTGTGACTGGATTAGCACTAGTTTCTGAGGGACCAGTCACTGAAGAGGAGATAAAGGGAAGGAAAATTGAAGAAGAAGTAAAGAAAAGAAGGGGGATATCAGTTGCAATTCCCCCCCCCCCTTGGAAAAAAAAGGGGGGAAAAAGGGGAAAGATTTTATTTTTTGGAAAAAAAAGTGTTCCTTTCCCACTTGTATCACAGAGAAACAACAGTTTAAGTTAAGTCTAACGTTAATGTTAATTTGTTATTAAAATGTAGAGTACAGCCCTCGGCCCTAGGCCTAATTTAGGTCGTAACTGTTACTGTTTGAAAATCTAAAGTAAAATTAGACGGTTTTCATGGTTAGACCAAGTAATTGAGAAAAAAAAGTTTACCCGTCACTGAGACCAGGTCAATCAATCTTCTAGATCCATTATTAGGGTCTAACGTTAGTAGATATAAGGTAGATGCAGGCGCGGATCCAGCGGGGGTAAGCGTGCCTTACCCCCCCCCCCTCCCCCTTCCGCAAAAGAGAGAGAGAGAGAGAAAGAGAGAGAAGCAAAAGAGGGAAAGGGAAAGAGGAGAGAAAGGGAAAGAAAGAAGAGGAAGAAGAAAAGAAAAGGGGGAAGAAGGAGATCGGGGGGGGGGGCGAAAGGGCCTTGCCTCCCAGGCTGTTGCCTCTCCCCAATTAAACAAAATAAGAGAGAAGGAAGGAAGGAAATGGAAAGAAAAAAGGAAAAGAGGAGATAAAGGGAAGGAAAATTGAGGAAGAAGTAAAGAAAAGAAGGGTGATATCGCTTGCAATTTTCCCGCCAACAAGTTGCGGATGGGGGTTCGAGTAGAATTCTGTGAGATGATGATATACTTTCTCGTAGCTTGATGTGACGAAGTGTCTCTATCCAAATATCTGTTGATAGTATTATAAAATATAGAAGCCTGATATGACCTTCTGCTCGTAACCGACACGTTACCGCATTAAAATTAAATTGCAAATAGTGTTCAACAACACGATGGTGGATGAAACTTTCTAATATTCGAAGATATATGACCCTCAGACCATATTGTTTCATTATTTTTTATTCAATCAATCAACGTCAAAGAATTGATTTATCATCGCTCTTCAATTTATTATTTCACCTTTTAATGTACTTTCATTCGTATGCATCACGAAAGAACACTGAATTGGATTCTTCAATGTTTGTTTTGATTAATTTCCTCCCCTTTCCTTCTCCCTGTTTAATCCTGATAAAATTATCAATTTTTCTCAATCAAGGCAAAATATTATTTTCATATTTTGTTTATGCAAGACAGGAGAGAGAGAGAGAGAGAGAGAGAGAGAGAGAGAGAGAGAGAGAATATGTTAAGTGAGAATTATCGAGTACAACTATGAATTGCATCCTTTTCAATATTATTCAATTCGCTGAAAATCTTTATTTTATAATTCCACGGGGGCGATTTTTAATTTTGCAATCGCCCCCGTGGACAACCTGATGGGGGCGATTATGGAGCTCACGGGGGCGAATCGCCCATCGCCCCCGTGTATTTTGAGCGCTTTCCATAATTGTTTATTGTAATAGTCAATCTTGTTATGTGCGCTTGTCATTTAGGTTAATGATATCATTGGTACATGTTAATATAATGTTCAATGTTGTTCCGATCAAGCAAAAAGCAATAAAACACTTGGAAGCATTGTCTTTGGTTTCTTCAGCATCTTTAGCATGCTCTTGCGTTTCCATGGATATATAATATATTTCGGTCGACACTGTTCCGTAATAATTTTCAATTCTTCAAAATTTATATTTTATCTTTTTTTAATAACCTCTTATATTTTTGAAATTGCCTATATTGGAACGGAAGTAAATAAAATAAAATAAAATAAAATAAAATCACGTTAACAAAAAATGAGTAATAGAACTACTTTTTTTCCCCTCTAAAATAAAATCTCCCTTTGTACTCAGGTGGTGTGGGCTGAATCCTATGCGGTTGGATGTGGGCGCACTTATTGCAGTAATCTTGCAAACTTCCGCCCGAATTCTTACGTAATCACCTGCAACTATGGCCCAGGGTAGGTACTGAAATTGACATGTATTTCCTTCCCATTGACAATGTGATAAACAAAAAACATATAGAACAGTACAGTAGAAATAAATTCAGAAGACAGGAGGCGGAAACCCAGAAAGCGAATGTTTGTTTAGGAAACATGCATTTTACCATGTTAACTATTTTATTTGAAAAATCAACAAAATATATTGATAAAAAAACTCTAATGAACCGGCTAATTGGTGATCCTTTTTTTTGTGTCCAGTTTTAAGTGATATATTCCCCACTTCCATTGATATGACATTTAAATTGTTTATCTATTCGACCGAAGTCTTACATTATCAGGTGAAACTGTGGCCCCGGGCGGGTATTCAATATGGAGATGCGTTTATCATTTTTCCCTCTCTCTGTTACAAGTTTTTAGTTATATACGCTCCACTGTCACAGAAATAAATATGATATTTTCTCAGTACATATCTTTTAGCCAAAACGTTTTTTTTAATATAAAAGTAAAGAAATAGATTGCCTAGATGCATTACAAATATAATTGGATAAAATGGAAAAACCTTCTAAAAATCTGTGCTTGTAGTTTGGAGATTCCCGCCATGTTAGCAATAAAATGCGCCGTTCAAAGTATATATTTTTTCAATCTTAAAAATATCTATAATTTTTTTAAAATCAATTATTAATTGGTTAAGAAGACCTTTGGCTTTTAGTTATTTAGTGAATCCTATTTCTTTTCCCGGCATCAGAGGTAATTACAACAACGAGCCCGTATATCTTCCTGGTCCAAGCTGTACCGAGTGTTCTTCAGGCATCGGGGAATGCTACAACAATCTTTGCAGTAAGTGTTATTTTTTCTCTCTCATTCTCACTCTTAAACCTATTGACATTTGTGATGCGCCAAAATTTGCTCCAGTGATTATTGTTCCTGCCTTATTTCGTAAAAATAAATAGGGTTATGGTTAGGGTTATGGTTAGGGTTATGGTTAGTGTTGGAGTTAGGGTTAGGGTTTGGGTAGTGGTTAGGGCTATGGTTAGGGTTATGGTTAGTGTTAGGGTTATGATTAGGGTTATGGTTAGTGTTAGGGTTACGGTTATGATTATGGTTAGTGTTAGGGTTATGGTTAGGGTTATGGTTAGTGCTAGGGTAAGGGTTATGGTTAGTGTTAGGGTTATGATTAGGATTATGGTTATGATTAGGGTTATGGTTAGTGTTAGGGTTATGATTAGGATTATGGTTAGTGTTAGGGTTATGGTTAGTGTTAGGGTTAGTGTTAGGGTTAGTGTTAGGGTTAGTGTAAGGGTTATGATTAGGGTTAGGGTAGTGGTTATGATTAGGGTTAGGGTAGTTGTTAGGATTAGGATTAGGATCAGGGTTATGGCCTTTCAGCTTCATTATTAAGCATACTTCAAGCCTTACATAACGCAGCTGCGCGCTAACTCACGGGAAGGAAGAAGTATGAGCATATCTCACCAATCCTGAACGAATTACACTGGCTGCTGGTTGAGTATACAGGATAAAGTTAAAGGTCTTAATGTTGAATTATAAGAATGTCCATGATCAGGCCCCAGGATATGTGGCTTCCCTGGTAGAAGAACATCATTCTCCTCCAGGTTTACGCTCGTCAGGATTATAACATGATAATGTTCTGTAAATCATTAAATACGGAAAATGAATGATCATCCTTTGATTTGATAATTTGAGTTTCTTCATTTATCTTATTTTGCAGGACCGTGCTCGGAGCATTCTGAACCATGTGGTAAGAATTATTAATGAGGAACGTTAAAAATTACAATTCAGTATGATTCCCATGCCAAATATAGAGCAAAAGCTCTAAAAAAGCGGTGTTTATCTTCACTGTCTTGGAATATGACATGCATATATATCAAATTTTTTACTAGAATAGAAGAAACAACTTCGTGTCATATAGTTTCGATGAGAATTTTTTTTTGTCGATTCTATCACAATTTTTTATTGTAACATCAAGGATGTTTATTTGAATATGTTAACATGTGTTCTAAACTGCCGACATTATTGAAAATGAATTTTGATAAGCTAACGGAGAACATATAAAACATTCTTATGACGATCTAATGAAAAAATGAAACAGCAACCCCTACATTTTTCTTCTTTTATAAGTTACCCCTTTTCTGTCATATTTCCACAGAGTGTAGAGCCGTCTGTCATAACTGTGGAACAAAGAATAGCGACTGTTCATGCACTTGCAGAGATGGATGGCGCGGATCTAACTGTGCCAGTAAGTCGAAAAATGGCGGCCTGTTCCTTGCCTATCTATTCCTTTTTGTGTTCTGTTTCAATCACTTTCAAATAGGCTACATTGTCATTCCAATTTCCACGGTCGTTTAAACGCCACTGACAGTACTGTTGCATCATTGTGCCATCATAAGACCAGTTCGTATAGTTAAAACATCATATAGATATCCCTAGATATCCACAGAACTTTCAAACATGGGGAAGTCCCTCCAAGAGCATATGAGAATAATCACTGCAGAAGGGATGAATGTGCTCCCTGTATAGCTTTTGTTTCTCTCTCTCTGAAAGGAACATGTGCACTTTTGTATCCCAGGATGTACCGTTGTTTATACGAATGAAAAATGATTGCGTAACTCTTATGAGTACGTATCAAGTATTTTACGATTTAGCCAAACTGCGATATGGTTTTGTCTACCACTTTATGGACATAATTGAATAGTCAAACAGACCACTTTCCAAACAGATGCAAATTTATCCATGATTCTCCTATAATGCTCTGGTGACGACCTGAAAGGTTGCCAGATGATAGTCCTTCATTCTAGCATGACCAATGTATGCAATTTACAATCAGATCATAGACCCTGTTTAACTTCAGGTGGGTGAAAAGATGTCCAGGGAGAAAAAGAAAGACTTACTGAATAAAAAATAAATAATTTGTTGTTAATCAATATTCATGCCGTATCATTTATTGTTTAACCAATAAATTTCTGGAATAATCTCCTGCCTTAACTTTCATTCAACATTTATCCTTTTTTTATATTTTCAGTCACCGTCATGCTTCGTTCATGCATGAGTTTATAAATATATGACCAATTTATACCTGCATTTCACCGCAGAATCGAATGTTTTATTTTTAGCCACTGGCATGCTTTACTCATGCATGTGACTGCAATTCAATTCTAATTCCATTTAAGGTCCATGCGAGGACACCGATTCTACGTGCGGTAACGGATGGCCATCTTACTGGTGTGGCAATAGTCAATTCCCATACGTTGACGCAGCCTGTCATCTTTTTTGTGGCTATTGCAGTAAGTACCGTGCACGTTTCTTTTGCAGTATTATAATAATAATAATAATAGTGGGTTCTTGTATAGCGCTCATGTCAGTCAGGTTTGACCCTCCTGGCGCTCCCGATTATTACCCTGGCTTTAGCACGGCTGCCATACGGCGCTCTAGCATTTCAAGGAATTAACTCCTACCAGGTACCCATTTACTTCACCTGGGTGGAGTGTGGCAAATGTAGATCAATGTCTTGCCAAAGGACATTAGTGCGGCGGCGTCTATTTGATTACGTCATTACTTACGTTATAATGCTTGGTGCACACGAGGCGTCATTTCGACTGCGCTATTACCTGCACCAACAAAACCGGTGGAGAAAATTAGTGCATACGTCTTTAATTCAAATCACTGTCTACACTCTTTATTTTGCATTCCCTTTCTGTACGATGTACGTCACTCTGACAGTCATGGCGCGTCAAAGCCCGCGTCGGTCGGTCGGTGGCGCATTCATACGTCAGATGACGCCTAGTGTATAATCAGGCATTTATATTGTAGTTAATCATTCTTTTTGCGTGGGCAGAACCAGTTGCCTTTTTATTAACGTCATCTTTTATGTAAGTAACTATAGTTTTAGTTTCAGTGCAGTTTACTTTTTATTATTATTTTTTTTCTCGAAAAAGTCAAATAAAAAACGAAATATATTGAGCATGATTGAACAGATAAATAACTTAAATGTAATTATAAAGATTTTCTCGAATTTTCCCAATGTATTTCATTTCTTTGTCAAATATTTCTAAGGAAGTGGGTCATTCTGGTTATTTATCTGCATCCAAAATATTCGACTTAATTTCACTGTATGTTCTTGATTATTGTGTCGATTGCTATTACTTGGTTTGCCATTCGTGTATGGAAGCCATGAGGTGCTTTATCATTCAAGGGAATATTTTAAACTGTTCGTAGCTCTGTTTTATTTTCTACAGATCCCCCTGATCCGACTTTCACGTGTTGTAAGTACAATGTAATATCTTCTCCTAAAAACATAGCAAAGCTCTGAAGAAATAATGGGGGGGGGGGGGGGAAAGATAATTGGCGGGGATATATAAAAAGTTTCAACATGTATTACCTCAACATAGAAAAACCAAGGAGACATGCATTTATCTCCAAAAGATATATTTGATATGATGAAGCCTTACACATAACTTATATTACTTATCATTACTCATATTGAAAGGGCACTTCCAAGCCATTTACTCCCAAACGCTACCGAACACATCCAGTAGGCCTATGTATGATGTTTGTATCAAATTGATAGCCCTTTAGCATGAATTAGATAAAATATGAAATCGAATGGTATTATTATGTTAAGTTGTACTCACGATTCAATTATATTTTGTAACATAATGGGACATGCCTTGGACTCGCCCCAAAAGATAAATGTTAGAAAATAAGAAAAATATTTAAAAAAATATTAACAAGCATGAATTATATGCCGAGGGCAATGCACATGCTTAGATGAAACAACTTTCAAAGGAGATCTGGACTGATGCGTTGTAGACATAGCAATCTTATGATTATCTTTAATCCTATTGATATTTTGATCATTAGTGGTTTAGATATAAAATCTATATTTTAATAATGTCTAACTAACACCATTTCATCACCTTTTATGAACAAACGACTACATGAATAGCACCAACTGCTGTCACCACCACCCAACCGCCCACAACTACCCCACTGACTACCACTACCCAACCACCCACTACTACCCAACCACCCGCTACAACACAACCGCCTACCACAACACAACCACCCACTACTACCAAACCACCTACTACAACACAACCGCCTACCACAACGCAAACCCCTACCACAACAAACCCGCCTACCGCAACGCAACCACCGACAACAACGCTACCATCCGCAACAACGCAGTCTCCTACCACAACGCAACCGCCCATTACAACACAACCGCCTACAACGCCTACCACTGCTGCACCGACGGAACCACCATGCACACTGTCTTGTTTAGATGGTGGGACACTGAACTCTGCTAGATGTACATGCCGCTGTGGATCTCAATATCAGGGTAACAGGTGTCAGAGTAAGTTGAAATTTGAAAGTCAAATTTTGTTCTTCATTTTTCACTTTCTCATTTACTACTAAGAATGAAAAGCATTCGTATTTTATATATAATTTACCCATAAATATAAATATGATACATTTTGTTCTCAAAACATGCATTATAAGTTCTCGACAATTATGGTCTAAAACGACCCCACCCCTATCAATTACAGGTTCTTTTTTAACACCATCATCACCTCCCCCTCTCTTTCTCTCCCTCTCTCTCTCTCTCTCTCTCTCTGTCTTTATCTCTCTCCCCGTCTATCTCTCCATCCAGCTGTCTTGTATTTCACACTCGTTTTTCATTGATTTCGGAACATCTTTTATTATTTTGTGCCATGGTTAAGATTCCACACAAGTTGATTATATAATTGCTTTTAACGCTCTCTCTCTCTTTCTCTCGCCAAGACTCAAAAGCTCAAGTCCAGTATGGAGTCGAACTCACCATTGGTGCAGATATAAGTTTCGTAAGTCATGCCCACCCTCATACTATCATTTACATCACACACAACCGCACATCAACTTCTTCATATTTGTTTTATTTGAATAAACACCGTTCTAAATGCATGGGCGTGCATTCGTCGTTTTGGAGACCAGTGTTTTGGAATGAATAGTTTTATTAATTTGTTTGCGTTTATGCATTTTTGAAAGTACTCTTTGTGTATTTTTGCGGGACACTGTGGTTTCCAGTCTTTTTTCAAAGTATTCCTTAATATTACTTTTGTCAGACTAACTTTAAATTTTGATGGATGGGGAAAAGAAATACTTCAAGATGAGGTGCTTCCAATGTTGGTATTTTTGTACATAATTCTGCATTTGAAAGAATGTTATATCCCACAATAATTTGGTTAACCTTCTTTCTCACGCTTGTTCCACTTTTTACATTGCCTGATATTTTTTTTAATCTGTGTAATGTTTTTCTTTGCCGAAAATACGCCAGCAAAGACTTTTAACTAAAGGCAAATTCAATATCTATGTCCTCACCTTTTGAAATGTGCCATAATTACAATCCGAGCTTGATTTCTATGTATATGCCAGTAGGTTATTGAAATGATGCTATTGAGTTCGTTCATCGAAAGTCCTTGCGCTTGTGCTGTCACTGAGTTTGTTGAAAAATAATACCAATGCCAAAGGTATCTGACTTTGGAAAGGAATCTCAATTTAAAACGGCATGTCATCCCTTTTGCAGTTTCCAAGAATTCGCAACCTGCTATTTGCAGTGATCAGTCGACTTGTCACCAACTTTTGCAACATTGACATGCTTTACCCCTTGTGCTGCCCAGGAGAGACCGGGAAAAACACGTAAGTTTTATGATTATATTTTAACCTGACTGCTAAGAAATCATGTTTATGATTGTTAATAAGCATCCAGCGGACCGACGGCTTTGACTTCTCTCCGAGGGACATGGTTATGGGGACTTATGTCTAATTACTCAAGGTCACAAGCACATTGAATTGTTTTCGAACCCAGGACCTCTCGGTTACGGGACCACTTCTTTACCACTAAGCCATCGCACCTCCTCAGGTGCATTTAATGTGTTTCCACGTAGATAATAAAAGTATGTGGCAAGAAAGAAACTACTCGATAGTAAGATACAAGTCAGACAAAGTACCGTCACCCATATTCCTTATCTGCCATCTCTCTCATACAATATGGTATATGATAGGCCTATAATGTAAGTTTGATGCTGACGATGATGACATTGTCATTCCTATCTTTGTTGCACATGATGAGGTATAATTTCGTTAACGTAGGACTGCGTCAATGAATGACGCGTTCTTAAGGCATCATGTGAGAGTGATATTCTTGACGCATGTGAAAGAATGACATTTTTGACGCATTATATAAGAGTGATATCTCACATGAAATGGGTGCAAAATAAAAAGTGGGAACACGTACTTCTTCACACTTCATTAGCGCAGGTAATGACGCAAGTGGAAGGACACCTCGTATGAACCAGGTAACACCTCAAATCCAATGCACGCCACTGCGCGCTGTGTTATTGTGGGCACAACAAAATGAGAAATAAATACTTTCTCAAATACTGAAAAGTTTTCAAATACTAAAAACAAAAAAAGTTGTTATTGAATTCACTCTAAACGGCCTCTCTCTCTCTCTCTCTCTCTCTCTCTCTCTCTCTCTCTCTCTCTATCTGTGTTTCTCCCCCTCTCTCTCTCTTTCCATCCTTCACAGCGATATGAGATTGAGTTACGTCGATAGCAACCACGTGTCCGTGGCCGATGGCTACCCGGAGGAACGGCCTGGCTACCCCACCCCAGCCTTCGCGGTCATGCTGCTCATCACGCCCCCAACGCCCAGTGAGCTCTGCAGTGCAAACCTGCAAGCCATTTCCAAAAGAAGTGTTCCACAATCGTCTGTACTACAAAGGGCCAAACGACAGACAGATACTTCTTCAGGAGGTATGGTTTTTTCATATACTTTTAGGGTGAATCTTCTCCAAAATTGAAACGCCCTCCACAAAGAATCGTAAAAATTGGAAGAATGATGCTATAATTGTGGACAAGTGAAGTTACTGGACTATTTTTTTCATCCATGTGTTATTTATTCATTCTTTTATTTATGTATTTATTTGTTTTTCATTCTTTTTATTCATTCAATTATTTTGTTTATGTATTCATTTAGTTATTCACTTATGTTTCTGTATGTATTCAGTCTTAAATCAGTGGTTAAACATCGCTGACGAAATATGCGAGGTTTTAATTCCTGCTATACGGTAGAAGGCAACCTGGGTTAGATATTATTTCTTGAGTGACTTATCATGGCCAACGAACTAAAGCCGTGATAACTCAAATAATTTTAAAAGATAAATGGTGCCTTGTAAGCGTGTTATATCAATATCAGTGCAAGTAATAGACCAGGTCTAAGCTCTTGAATACACCAAGACCTTGCATAGCGGATGGGACCCGGGGTGCAATTCAAAAACAAAATCGAAGGAAAATGCAATCTGGGCAAATGGATTTAGCAATATCGTCGGCATTTTTTGGAATCTTTATGGGGAAGTAGATCTGATAAAGTTTTGTGATGCGGCTACTGTGAAACGTTTTGCAGTTGAGGAGACCAAGGGTTTAGGTTTGGAACAAGTATTTTTAAGATGTTAAAGGGAGTGTAGCCTGACGAGACTACGTGTCTTTCTCATGGCCTGACTCGGGGCCAATCGGGTATGATACGACGCGACCGCAGCAATCACTGCGTGCAACATACGCGAAACCGAAGCGTGAGGAGAACTTCGGTCTGTTTCGCGAACGCTGAACATGTAGGTGGTTAAGTCGCTGACAACCGTTCACCAAGTCCATTCGTTTACGTGTAGTTGTCCAAAAGAAGACCAGTTTTTTCTTCTGCAAGCTACACTCCCTTTAACATACTGTTTTAACAAGTAGAGCGTCTGCTCTAGATTTTTTGGGATAAATTCACTGTCTTTATCATCCCATTCCAGGCTACCTGAGTCAGGAAGCACTTTATGAAACCATCGTGGCCAACATCAACGCTATCTCGAGAGAGGCCAACGTGACTATCTTGGAAGTGACCAGAGGCGTGGTCGAGGAGGGTAATGTTCTATTAGAACTCCGTTTCACCATCATCGTCATCGTCGCCATTATCGTCGCCCTGGCCATCGTTACAGCCCTCATCACCATTTGCTGGGGAAGGTAAAATAATGGCTAATTCCGGTTTTTAGAAATACCACTTTATTTCCTCAATATCAAGGTGATATTGGCATTCCGCTATTAAAACGCACCTGGGCTCCGTAGCACAAAGCTTAGCAATTGATCGTATGATTGAATTTTGCGATTGGTTGCACACAGTAATCAAAGCAATCAATCGCCACAATTTAACCAATCATAGGATGAATCTCTAAGCTTTATCTTACAGGCTCCTGGTTTATTCATCTTCCTATTTTCCACAATCCTCCGATATTCATGTTTTCTGATTAAAGCTAGTTCGTAGATAAAATCTCCAAATGAGCAGAGAGAGAGGTCATTTTGTGACAGAGTTATAAAACCCACAGAGATAAATATTGGATAGGTTCTCAGAGATATAACTATTTTGTTTGTCTGCGCATGCATTCCGTGATACATAAACGGAAGTAAGGGGGAAACAAGAGTTATTAATGAAGCATCTGCATTACATAGGGAGTGATTTTGTTCTAGACACACGCCGTCATGGCAGTGACGTCACTCCCTGGTTCAAAGATCAGTGGATATTTGGGATCATTTTGTTTCATCTGCTAATTAACGAACTGGTATATTCTCCGCCTATTCCTATCTTAACCCACCTAAACTTTCATCTCCTAAATCTTCTCTTTGCTTTTTTTTTTCTTTTCTTTAGGAACACCGACACTGGCAGGAAAAGTTCCGGAGGCAAACGAAAACCCGACGACCTTTCTGGATCAAAATTTTAGTTTTTGTGTGAACACAACTCGGGTTATAAGTCACTGAGTGTCTGAAATATATGAAATATTATGAAATATTATGAAACAGTAGATATCATCTATATTTATAGAAATATTTAACGAAGAAATATAGCAAATACACATGTTTATTATATCAAATAGGAATCTAAGCGTGGTGCTTTTAGTAGTAGGATTAACAGGGGCTTGAAATCAAGCTCAGTATAAACTACATCCTTACACCTTTTGTTACGTTTTGGGGTTGGAAGTTGAATCTGTGCTTCTCTATTGCTGTTTTTGTGTTAGTACGTTTGTAATCTGTGCTTCTTTATAGCTGTTTTATTTTAGTACATTTGTAATAAACATTCGAATATTTCATTGAGTAAATAGAACATAGAATAAGAAGTAATTAAGTTCTACATAGTCATGTCATATATTTTCAAAATGCTAATTAAGCCAGTAATAATCTTCTTTTACGTTACCTCACACGCGCCAATCCCACACTCTCTTTCTCTCTATCTCTCTCCTTCCTTCTCTCTCTCTCTCTCTCTCTCTCTCTCTCTCTCTCTCGATCGATCGACTGGGGTGGCCATGCAACCTATCTACCTTCGCCACTCAAATATGAAGTAAGGATGGTTGCCCATTTTCAACCAACCAATCAGTGTAATATGCTGAAAGACATCACAATTAAATTACAAAGTTGTAAGTTATATAATCTTGTTAAGTTTATTTGACACTTTAATTTTAAGCTTTGACATGACATTCAATGGAAACTGCCTTGTATGAATTTGCAATGTTTTGAAAACGGTTGAATAAATATGAAATGAATAAAAATGGACTTGAATCCAGTCTAGTGTACATCAGTAACATATTTTCAAATAACTCTTTTATCAAGAACGGCACCGTGAACTAACCCGAACAACTTTATAGGCAGCGTTTAATCTTTTACGTAAATGCATTTCAAGGAATGATTTAGCTTATTTTTATACTATGTACTAAAAACGTCGCTCATGATTGATGGATTACAATTATCGCACATACTACATTAACTAATGATGAGCGACCTTTCTAATCATGTTCATTTACATGATACCTGTGTTTAATAAGTTATGACTGAATGCAAATATGATCGCCCACGACTGTCAAAATATCACAAAGTGACTAATATTTTTGTTATCGTCTATTTTATAGATTGCTTGATTCAGTTATAGTGATATACATGATATCAATTCAATGCTTTTCAATTAAACTTTTAACAACTTTTGATTTAATTGAAAATTCCGTTAAAGCCATGAACTCTTGATGGCTTCCACAATACCATGAGTTTGAAGTATTTCCTCCCCATTTCCACCGTCCCTAATTGTACTGCATTAGACTAATTTTTTCTATCTCGTTTTTGCATCAATGTACTGTCAAAAACACAATTATAATTGCGATGTGTGGCTGATAATGCGACCGCCATGAGAGTTTTCCGATTTTTTTTTCTTCTTCTTTCAACCGTCTGTTGATCATCTGCTGGACGTGACGCTGCAGCTTAGGGGATGAAAGTCCTAGGTCGGGATTCTCATCCATTCTTCTGTATATTAAGTTCGTTTTTAAAAGTATAAAGTCAAAACAAATTCGTAGCGTCCAAATCAAAACCAACATGAATGTCAAAACTTGCTCGGGTAAAGTAGTTCGCAGTGACTACGGATGTACTGACGCATCGTTCATTTTATTTCATAGGCTAATGTATTTCCAAGTGATATATTTATAATGTAAAGTCATTAAGAAAAATAATTCCAAACTTTGAACATGGAGATAGACAGACAGAGAAATCTACAAATTTGTATAAATGATTACGAATTATGTATCGATTTGATCATAAAATAGATCTATTAATGATACAACCCGTTTTTGTGAATTACACGTACACGCATACAACACATATAACGATCTTTGTTAATTTCCTTTTTGTATAAATAATTCTAGAGTGTGCAAATATCAAAGTGAATGAAGCCATTTGCCATTCAAGTTTGTCAATGGGCAAACCATTTAATATCCATCAGTCGATTTTCGTCGATTCGTCTCAACAAAATTACATTCTATAGATTAGGAGATCTATTTCGTCGTAGCATATTATTATTTAAACAAAAGTTTCATTCAAAATATCTGAGAGTTTCACCGTGAACAAGCTTTTCCCATCAGAGTCTGGATATATCTTCTTTCCTATCTTGGCATGCCTTCTTACCATGCTTACATATTGTATAGACCTAAGATTTGAAACGTATTCAGAAGTTTAGAGCTGTTGGAACTGTTACATTAAAAAATGTCAAGGATAAAACCAATCGAGTAGATGGTAATATTTGGAGGGAGACATACTATAATCTTGTACTGAATACTATCAAATAGATCTTTTATTTGTGAATTTTCAATCGATACAACCCACTTCATCTAAATTATCTAAGTCTAGTGGAAAAGTTCCATCTCAGCATTAGAAATAAAAGAGAAATTGATAAAATGCCGATGTGGAGATATCCGGCCTGCCATCGATCGCAGAATTCTATCGAAAGAGAAAGAGAAAAAATGCAGCGAGTAATATTCAGAAATCCATCTCAAACACATCAGAATAAGATGGAATAAATGAAGGAGAAGCAGTGAATAAAAGTAGTATGAAACGCATAATTCTACAAAAAACTCTCTCTTTCTTTCTCTTTCGCACACACACACTCTCTCTTTCTTTCTCTCTCTCTCTCTGTATCTCTTTCTATCTAATCACCCTCTCTGACTCCCCTCTCTCTATATATATCTAACCCCCACTCTCTCATTCTCTAACTTCTCTCTCTCTCTCTCTCTCTCTCCCTCTCCCCCTCTCTCTCTCTCCCTCCCCCTCCATCTCTCTCTCTCTCTCTCTCTCTCTCTCTCTCTCTCTCTCTCTCTTCTTCCTCTGACTTTCTCTCTTCACAGATTTTAGCATGCTTAATGAACCAGCCTTGCCTCCTCAAAGTAGAATGAACAGCCAATAATTTTCCCAACATTCTAAAGAAAAATATGACCTCGTGTAAACTAATTGGAGTGTCCCATCCCTTCAGATAATAAACTTCTATTTTATAAAGCGAAGGATCGTATTCTTCCTATTAAAGCATGTTATGAGTGTGAACATGGACACTATTATGAATGAGTTTGGTTATCTCAAGTGTTTCATCGGGGAAACATGCATTTTTACCCTCAAGGGAACGAAAGTGCACTTCTAGAGCAAATACTTTCCTACTTTATTACATAGAGTGCACCGTCAGGGGCGAAATTTTCATTTTTCTAATGGAAAAAAGGTGCCCTTCTAGAACCGAAATTGCCCTATTTGGTTCTTAAAGTGCCCAGTCAGGGATGACATTATCATTTTGAAGTGGCGTAAAGTGCCCTCCTGTAGAGCGGAAAGTGCCCCATCATGGTCGAAAATTCTCACAGCCATTATCAAGCCCATACATTTCAAACGCGTTTTTCTCTTTCTAATTCGATACCAGTAACTTACAAATGTTACTGAAATAACATGATTTTCCGGGTTTTTCTCATTTGTGTGTAATTTTTTTTTTTTTTAAGCGTTTGTTGGCAAATTACAAAAACCCAAAAGTTTCAAATCCGAGAGGTGCTCATTTCACTTAAACAGGTGCCCTTAAACTTGATAATTAATGCCCCTTCCTCTTCAGATAAGTATCCCCTTTTATTTTGACACATGCCCCCTTTTAAATAAGAGCCACCTCCCCTTCTCATAATGCCCCTATTAACACCTTTAATAAATACATCTATTAACATCTCATAGGTGCCCCTTTTCCTACAAAAAAATCCTTTGTAATAAGTGCCCCTTTCTTATCTCAAAAGTGCCCCTATTCATCTCAGATATGTGCACCTTTACATATAAAAGAAGTGCCCCTTACCACCTCTGATAAGTGCCCATTCACCTCTCATAATTGTCTCTTTTTCAAATCTGAGTGCCCCCCTTTTCATCTCCGGTGAGTGCCCTTATTCAAAGTTAGAGATGCCCCCTTTAACTTTGTAATAAGTGCCCCCAGAGAACTAACCCCTAGGACAACTACCCCCGGAAAAATACCCCCAGACAACTACCCCCTAGGTTAGTTGTCCGGGGGGGGGGAGTTGTCCTAGAGGATGATTGTCGTAAGGGGTAGTTGTCTGGGGGTAGTTGTTCGGGTGGTAGGTGTCCGGGGGTAGTTGTCCGGGGGTAGTTGTCCTAGTGGGTATTTTACTGGGGGTAGTTGTCCGGGGGGTAGTTGTCCCAGGGGGTAGTTGACTTGGGATGGTTATCCGGGGGTGGATGTCCAGGGGTAGGTGTCCTAGAACTTTTTTGAACCAAATACACACGTACACAACCTATATTAAGGACTTATCGCATCATACGTGCGTCACAAATCGTTATTCAAAGAATATGTTTATACTTTTTCAGTTCAATAATTCTACCCCAAAAAACCACAAAGAAACAGTTGATAAGAAGGAATATTTCCTTTAATGGTGAATAAAAGAGGGATTGTCACTAAATCCACTTAACCGTATCCTACTGGAATATATTTTTTTTTACTTTAATAGTTGACCTTACCGACTTTTTCCTCGGGATTACCTTTGTAATTGGGCATTAGCCTGCTCATGCATGGGCATAAATTCTTCCAAAAATATTTCTAAAGCGTACAGTAATGAGTTTATGTCAGTAGCAATGACGGGCGGCGATTTTATTTAGTTTGTAAGGCATTATTCTCAATTTAGTCATTTTATGTCAGAGATCAACGTAACTACGCTGGGTCTGCAAAACTTTAAACATCGACCTACTGAGGGGAGATTTCTACCAAGTTATTTCTAACTTTTAAGCATTGAGCCGGTTGTAATAAGTTGTATGCCGATACAGCATGAAATTAATATTGATTTGGCTAGGTTTCACCGGGGCCCTTGTTAATGGCGACGTTGATTTCGGAGCTGGTGTTCACGGGCATCGAACGAAGCGGGCAACGGGCTTCTCCGCCGAGGAGATTCAAGGCATCGTCGATAAGCACAATGAGTACAGAAGTATGGTGTCCCCGGTGGCGTCCAACATGAAATATATGGTGAGTTTTTCCAATCATTGATCAAAAATTGTGTAGAAGTGCAGATTGACACGAGGGGGGGGGGGGCAAAAATTAATTTAATATGGAAAGAGAGAGAAAGAGAGAAAAAAACTTTCATGATGCGAAATCGTAATATCGAAATAATGCAATTTGCGAAAGGTTTCGGTTCAGACTAATATTTTTGTCCTATTTACCCAGGAAAGCCTCATCAGTAATAGTATAATATTCTTCCTATAAGGCCTAGCAATAATTACCACCCTAGCAATTATCATGTACCCATTTACACCAGGGCGAAGAGAGGCGTATGTGGATTAACGTCTCGCCAAAAGACGTAAGTGCCGGGCTGGGATAATAATTCGAAACCAAAGGATTGAAAATCAAGTGAATGTACCACTATGCTAGGTATTACCACAACACATTCGATCCGATCCCTTAAAACGTGACACTTTCGCATGTAAGAAACGCTGGCGAAGTCTTAAAGATGTTCAAGCATGGATATATAGAGGGCAGTACACGAACGTTCGATACCTATACCATCTTGCGAACTGTTTACGCACGGGAGCGTACTACCCGTTGGCTCAGTGTTATGTATTATGTATTAGTACTCGTAGTAGTAGTCGTAGCAGAACAGTAGTAGTAGTAGTAGAAGAAGTAGTAGTAGTAGTAGTAGTAGTAGTAGTTGTAGTAATAGTAATATTAGTAGAACTAGTAGTAGACCTAGTAGTAGTAGAAGTAGTCAGTGGCGTACGCAGGAATCGGGCCAAAAAATCCGCAACGTCTCAGCCAGCCGCTGAATGAGCGGGGGGGGGGGGGGGGTAAGCTAGAGGACACTCTTTTTTTGTGGACATTTTGTTCCGTTGGGGGGGGGGGGTAAGGTCACCTTTTTAAAGTCAGCCATTTGCATAATTTTTCAAAAGGGGGGGGGGGTTCCAAAAAAACTTACACAAAAATACCCACAAACGAACCCCCCCCCCCCCCTCTGCGTACGCGCCTGGAAGTAGTAGTAGTAGTTGTAGCAGTAGTAGCAGCAGTTGTAGTAGTGGTAGTAGTACAAGTAGGCCACGGCAGCCCCGTTTGCCCGAAACGAAGAGCACCGTGGGCACAAACGTGCTCCAAAGCTGCCCGGCGTCTACGTTTCATCCTTAGAAAGCCTTGACATAATGTGAAAACGTGTCAGACCTTCATCAGAACGTGAGAAACGTGAGAGACCCCATCAGAACGTGAGTGGCCGGGAGGGAACGTATTGACATCCGTGGTAGACCGCGGGCCGAACGGTAGTGCGCCTTGGAGCCTCCGGTACAGCAGCCCCTTTACCCCCCCCCCCCCCCCCCGAGGTCCGTAGTGCGCCCTGGAGCCTCCGGTACAGCAGCCCCTTTACCCCCCGAGGTCCGTCACGGATACCTTGACAAACCGTGAGAAAACTGGGTAAGACCTAACAAAACTTGAATCCATAGGGGAAAATGGACAAAATCCCATGTAGCACTTCGTTTCGGGCAAACGGGGCTGCCGTGGCCGCCGGAAACATAATTTAAACCTAGCATTACGGCCTTACCATTATTATTTCCCTAACACTATCAGGTATACATCTGATACTGGGTAAGGGGGGGGGGGCTACATTTGGGTTTCAGAGAAACAAATGAGGGTTAAAAAACTTGTCCAAGGATGTAAGCACCAACAAGTTTTGACCTCTCGTTTGAGTGTAATGAGCCTACCACGCCCTTTTCAAACCATACAGACCTAGAGGTAATTTCATAAACATTTAGTATGACTTCATTTGTAGATATTTCAATCGATTTAAAATTCAATCTTTCAAACAACAATATCCTTAACTAATTTAGTGATTGGCAGCAACTCCCTAGAGTTGAAAGACAGTTACAGATTAGAACGCAAGGTATTGTTCCTTCAAATCTGAAAACAATGTCACCCATGAATTGTTATTCGGAAGTCTTATTTTGGAAATTTCATGTTTTTTTTTCTAAAGGTTATCAAAAGCTTTGAAAAATTACTAGTGCTTTCATTCATTTCAGTGTTATTATACTTCGTGGAAGCTAAAATGACGATCATGATGAATCAAACCACACCCTAAAATGAATTGTGTAACAGAGTTGCTGATCC